GGGGGAACATCGTCAATGGCATGTGGATTTTCAGGGTGAAGCGGCGGCCAGGTTCTCCGCCTGTCTTCAAGGCTTGTTATGTTGCTCGAGGTTTTCAGTCAGCAAGAGGGAGTAGACTTCTTCTAGACCTTCTACCCCACCCCGAAGATGACCACTCTTTGGGTGCTGCTGCACGTTGCCCCTCAGCGTGACTACGAGCTTCACGCTCTTGACTTCAGCACAGCTTTCTTACAGGGCAGCCTGCACGAGAAGATCTGGCTCCCTCGCCCTCCTGGCTTCACTAGGTCGTTCCCTCCTGGTACCCAGTGGAGCCTTCGGCGGCCAGTCTACGGTCTTTGCCAGGTGCCACGTGAGTGGCACGACACACTGGGGACGACACTTGCTGCTCTTGGGTTTGCTTCGTCGACTACTGACCCGTCGCTGTTTTTTGCGCACCGACACTTCGCTGCCGCCGTTCTACATCCTCGTGTACGTCGACGACTTGTTCTTTGCCACTGCTGACACTGAGGCTCTCGCTCTGGTGAAGTCGGAGCTATAGATGAGACACATGTGCACAGACATGGGTGAACTGCGTAGCTAGTTTGGTTTGCATATCACCCGGGACAGCGCACGCCGCACCATCACACTGACCCAATCACACATGGTGTAGCAGGTCCTTCAGCGCTTCGGCTTGACCTGGTTCTCGGCACAGGCCACTCCTCTGGCTACAGGTCACTCGCTCTTAGCTCCACCTTCGGACGAGTCCGTAGAGCCGAGTGGTCCTTACCCAGAGCTAGTGGGCTGCCTCATGTACTTGATGACCTGCACTCGTCCTGGCCTTGCGTATCCTCTTGGCCTTCTGGCTTGCTACATGGCTCCTGGTCGGCACTGAAAGGTGCATATGGATGATGCTAAGAGGGTACTACGCTACTTGCCAGTACATCGGGAATGGGGCTCGTGCTTGGAGGACGGAGTGACGTTGTCCTCTCTAGGCACTAAGACACTTCTTGGGTTGACGACCGGGCTAGGTTGCGGTCGTCACAGGGTTACGCCTTCTGCTTTGGCTCTGGTTAAGTTTCTTGGCGGTCTACATGCTCGTCATCTGTTCTCGGCTCCAGTTGTGAGGCTAAGATCTACGCCACAGCCATGGCTGCACAGGAGTTGCGCTGGCTTACCTGTTTGGTGACCGACTTGGAAGAGCGACCTCATTCTCGTCCAGTGCTGTACGTAGATAACAAGGCCGCCATTGCCTTGTGTCAGGAGCATAGACTGGAGCACAGAACGAAGCACATCGCTTTGCGTTACTTCCTTGCTCGACAGTTGTAGCAGCGTGGTTCGCTTGGTCTTGCTCACGTGGCCACTCAGGCCAACACTGCTGATATATTCACCAAGGCACTTCCGCCTGGTGATCATCAGCGCTTTTGTACTTTGTTGGGCCTTGTGCCTACGTTTCTTCACTTGCTATAGGCTCTGTGTGTACTATGTTATATATATTTTTATATTGATATATATATACCTTCATATTTGTTCCTGGTAGGTAGAGATCACTGTGCTGTTGTTGTTGCATATATACCTTTGCATGTGAACTGGCGTTTGTCAAAATTAGAAGAAAGAAAGAGGGATGAACTAGCAGAAATGGGGATACAAATAGCAAACCCTAGAAGGGTTGTACTCGCTATAGAGCACCCCACTACAGGCTAGAACATAAGAATAATATTCTGACACACCCCCATAGCCAAAGTGGGGTGTAATCAGCAGAGCAGGAAAAGCAAAACAAGCTCAGGGTGGATCACAATGTCACCACACATTCTGAGCACAAGTTCAAGAAGAAATAGTTTAGAGTTCACAATTATAAGCAAAGCTAGTGGTAGTCACAACGGGCAAGTGAGGAGGAGGAGGGAGAGTGAGGGGAGAGGAGGCAGGAGGCGACGGCTGAAGCTGCAGACACACGGGCAACAGGAGGCAGACTGGCACAGCGGCTACCGGACAGCGCCCGGACTACAGGAGTAACAGGCCCCGCGGCTCAAATAGCGGCGGACGGGCAACGGACCCACGGGCGGCTGGCACAGCTGGCTACGACTGGGCTACCGGGACAGCGCCCCGGACTACAGGTGCTGCGGACGACAAGCCGGCAGCCTCCGCTCAACCTCCCGCAAACAGTCCCACCCCCCTGATACACACCCACTGCTACACCGCTAGCTCTACTCCCACGCACCCCCCCTTAAACCCTAAACCTCAGTCTCCCACACAACCACCCCCCTCAGCGACAGCTGCAGCAGTGGGAGACGAAGGAGGAGGAGGAGAAAGGGAGGAAGGCACACCGACCACCCCCATACCCGCCACCCCACAGCGGCCCCCGAAGGAGCCGCGACGGGCGACGGGAAATGGCAGGGGGGGGGGGGGGGGGGGAGGCGGTGTGGTGAAAGGGGCCCACCACGGGCCTGGTTGGAGGGCGGGGCCGCGACAAGGGGCGGGGCCGCGACGAGCGGGGCGGGGCCGCGACGTAAGGCGGGGCCGCTTCGAGGGGCGGGGCCGCGACATAGGGCGGGGCCGCGACGTAGGGCGGGGCCGCGACAAGGGCGGGGCCGCGACGTAGGGCGGGGCCGCACAGGTAGGGCGGGTCGAACCGGGCAGGCGCACGGGCGGCGACGGGCCGGGGCGGGTCCGCGACGAAGGGCGGGGCCGAGCAGGTAGGGCGGGGCCGAGCCAGGCAGGCGCACGGGCGGCGACGGGTCGGGGCGGGGCCGCGACGTAGAGCGGGGCCGCGTCGAGCGGGCGCACGGGCGGCGACGGGAGGGCAGACGCCCGCCGCGCGCCTCGGGGCGCACAGCGGGCAAAGAACCGCCGCGCGCCCCGGGGCGCACGGCGGGCAGAAAACCGCCGCGCGCCTCGGGGCGCACGGCGGGAAGGAAAACCGCCGCGCGCCTCAGGGCGCACGGCGGGAAGGAAAGGTAGCAGCGGAAGCGAGGTGGAAACCCACCCACAGGATCGATCCAAGGGGATCGACCTGCTCTTATAGCATGACAAAATTAGAAGAAAGAAAGAGGGATGAACTAGCAGAAATGGGGATACAAATAGCAAACCCTAGAAGGGTTGTACTCGCTATAGAGCACCCCACTACAGGCTAGAACATAAGAATAATATTCTGACAGCGTTGTGGCCCTTTGGTTGTGCTGAGTGTGTGTGGTGATGTTGTGATCCACCCTGAGCTTGTTTTGCTTCTCTTGACTGGTCTTGTGACCCCTTTGCTCTCCCTCACTTAGTCTATGGGGTTGTGTTAAATTATTTGCGGGCAAGCGCGCCTGGGGTGCGTGCATCGGGATCTGAACACTCTCCAGCAGAATCTGCCTCAATACGACGTGAACGTATTTCCGAAGGCCGTGGATGACGCACGCACCGCGGTTTCTGTCGCTCGCAAGGTGTACGACAACATGTTTGCGGCTATCATTGACACGCAGAATGCAGTTACCCAGTACAAGGCGGCGAAAGCGAAGGCGATGGCTGACGCGAATACGCGTTCGGCGAAGGCGAAGCAGAGCCCGGCTGTCGCAGACAAGATTGTGCTTCTGCTCACGGCTAAGCTCAACGCGGCGCTAGTGCAAGCTGACAATGCCGAAAAGGCTGCTTGGATCAGCAAGGTTCCTAGGATGGCTAAGACTGCTGAAAAACGCAAGAAGAAGAAACACTAAATGGGCTTCGCTGAAGGCCCATGCGGTGTGACCAATTAGCGCGAATGTCCCATTCTACACTTACTGCAAAAGTTCCAATCTTGCATGCGGTAGCACTCTTGCACTCCTGAATTCTTCTTGTGGGCAGCAGTAGCACTAGCACAGCGCTGCCTGAAGGCTGTCCCTGTACCTTCCAGAAATAAGCGCATGCAGGAAATGAGAATGCCCATACGAAGAGGGAATGGGGCATGAAGCTGTAAGTTTGTTTTTATTATTTTTCTTTCTGTTTTACGATATGAAAGGTGATTATATACACCCACCTGAATCGCATTTTACCGAAGGTTTTTGCATTGGCTTCCGACATATTTTTTCGGGTTTACGAAATCTGCAATTCAGAGACAAGGTCATCGACGGTTGTCATTCCAAATCAAAGAGCTAAGTTACTCGAATCGACGGCTTAGTTTCCTTTTTGGGCAGGGAACCTTGGCTGCAATCTCAATCGTACAGATGCGGTTCGAGAGTGTTGAAAGTGTGGTAATGTGGAGTCAGTCAACGTATCCCGGCACAACTGTTCGTCCTCTCGTGCAGCAACGCATGGAGGGGGAGGGGGGGAGGCGCCCGACGATGAGTCGCGAGCGGAATCGTAACGAAATTCTCGCGAATCGTGGAGAGGACCTGCCTTGATCACATGGCCTGTCCACCTGACTCCCTCCCTGCCACCACAGGGAAAAAGATTCGTCAACTTCTTGATTTGTGGTGTTTGCTCGCTACCTACCTACACCCCACTGCTGCCTTGCCTCAGTCCAAATTCCGGAATCGTTAGTCAAATCCAGTATTTGTCCCTAAAAAACATGATCGAAAGTCGTAAATGTCTGTTTTCTTGGTGGAAGACGCCCAGTGCTGATTTCAGTAGATTGTTGGTAAGCCAGTTACATTCGGAATCATCATCCAGCCTGGATCCAGGCTCTCGAGAGCACAGCGCAGCATCAGGCGAACATGTCGACAAATCTTGGGCAGCGCTGAATGGGGTAGCACCACGGAGTAGACTCCAAGGTTTTGCTGGTTTTGCTCATTCTCCACCGTACCTACCACCACTCTTCCCTGTCTTCGCATCGAATCGCACATCCCATCAACTTCCTTTTCAACAAAGTCCCTGTCTACTAGTACTTATAATGTCACTCGTTCTTTTGCCAGCTGAGCTCATCCACTGTCCATTCCCTATCAGAAGCTTAGAATTCCCCACTGGATTTATATTCGAGAGCCCCGTGCTTTCTTTGTCTTTCAGCTGCCAATGTAGTAAATCAGTAGAGCGACATTGAAGTTCTGCGAACAAGCAAGCTGCTTCGATTCAGTATGACTAACGCCGGCGCGATGACGATTTCGCGTGCTTCTCTCGCCGCCGCTCTCCTGGCGTGCTTCGCCGTGCTTCTCGCCCCTCCCGGGGCGCTCGTTTCCGCGCAAAACGCTTTCCTCGTAGCGAAGGCCAAGACGCTTCGCGCCGCTGCAAATCAGACTGCGGCGGACCTTATTGCGGCCCAAGCGAACGCCGCCAAACAGGCGGCTGAAGTCGCCGCCGCCAACCGAACTCTGTCCGATCTGCAGGGCCCAGACCCCGCTCTCAACGACCGCATTGCAATGATCGCCGAAATGAATAACAGCGTCGCCGATGCGCAGTACGACCTTGAAATTGCAAACAAGATTCTCGTTCTCCGGATCGCGGATCTCGCGGCGTTTCAGGCCGATCCGTCGACGCACCCGCAAATCCCGGCGGCGCAGAAGGCGGTCAACGACGCGACGCGGCGCGCGCGCATGACGTCAATGCTGCTAGAGGAATGGCGGCTCGTCGTGCAAGAGGCTGCGGACGCGGAAAAAGACGCGGAGAGGGCGGTAAACAAAAATCCGACTTCGTTGGTGGCGCAGGCTACGCTCGTGGAAGCGCAATTTTACCGCCAATCTGTGGAGGATGTGCTCCCGGATATCGTGGCGCAAGACGCGCGCGCGCAGGCACGGCTGGATCGCGTTCAGAAGGAATTGCTGACTCTGCTTTCGCAGGGTCCGCAGGAAGTGAGCATTTTCCAAATGGCAGTGGACGATGCGAGAGGCGCGGTCAGCGCCACGCGCTTGGTGTACGATAGCGCGGTTGCGGCAGTCGCTGACGCGCAGTTGGCGCTCACCGACTATCTCGCGGGCAAGGAAAAGGCGATTACTGACACGAAGGCGCGTTTGGCGAAGGCGAAGCAGAACCAGACTGTCGCTGACAAGAAGGTGCTTCAGCTCACGGATAAGCTCAAGGCTGCGCTGGTGCAAGTTGACAATGCAGAAAAGGCTGCTGGAATCTACAAGCCTCCTGCAACCAGCAGCAAGACTACCTAAACTTAGCTTCATTTACACGCGGGTGTGTCACTCGGTCGCTCTTCGTTTACACAATCATACGTCACGTCACTCATTCGGGAATGTTTCAAGTGCACAGCAGTAGCACAAGCACTGCTTTGCTCGGCTCAAGAAATCGATATCAGAGTTCCTTTGGCTTGTCTGGAATGTCGCATATGTGTGCAGGTGTGCAGTGGGTTGGTTTTTGTGATTGATTGTGATATACGTAGTGCTATTCTTTTCTTTCTTTGCATCACCTCATGGATAAGCTATCACATCACATCACATGCACAGACATGAAACCCGTAAGACTGTTCCAAGGTCCGCAGTTGACAATTGGTGGACAGAAGAATGTGGGGTGATGAATTGGGAGGTTGTATGAAATGTCAACAGACGAGCCAACATGACAAGGTACAGAAAGCAAGGGTGCATAGCATAGCATACCTTCATGCTGAGAACAAGCATAGGAACAAGGATGGTTAAACACAGGATCTCGGCTTGGAGAACAAACCATTGAGCCCTTCCTGTCAAGAACCTGAGCCCTTTCTGTCATGAACCCTCTCTGCAATCAAACCGCTGAGGATATAAAGGCTTGAGCAGTGCCGGTGGCGAGAATTGCGAGGCAAGAGGAACTTCTAAACCGTACACTGATGAAAAGGTGTAATCGTGAGATGATGTAACCTGTACACTGTACATCTGTTAAACAAGGACCCAGTACATGCTGCTCCATGCAATCTATCAATGCATAGTATTGCTGTAGGTCAGCCACCAGGAGTGCATAAGAATAGAACATGTACGACGGCCAGTTTTACCAGATTAGCGGAACGACAACCGGCCAGTAACGACAAGGAACGCCAATCGGAAGTCACTGTAGAACGACCAGAGCGGGTAGCGGAAAGTCGCCGGTCTGTTACGCTGGACGAAGAAATGCGAATACCACGCGCAGCCGTAACCGACGACAGGGGTTAGTAGGAGGAAACTAGGGTTCCGTGTGACTGCAGATGTTGTGACGCAAGCGAGAGCGGCGACAGTTCCCGCGGTGTGCCACAAACGAGTGGCTGGCTTGCTGTGCTCTTTGAGGTAAAACGGCCAGAACTCGGTATAAGTCGCGATACGCGTGTGCGTGCGTACTGCTGGTTTCGACTCTAACGACCGTCCTGATGCGGATAGGTGATCCTCTGCAGCATCCCTGGCCATAATCGAGATTTCTTGGTCTAGGTTGTGGGGTATGAAAATAGATTGCCTAGACCACACTGACTGGGGTTGGCCGCTAGGCTGGACTTACTACTACTACTAGGGTAGATTAGAGCCGCATTGTCTACCTAATGTTTTGGAAGCAAGAAGACAGCTTGAGGAAGTGACCACTGGTTTGGTGATGGGTCGTCCAGTTGATCGCTCTGGCTTCTTGGCGAAATCGTCGTAGCCAGTGAGGCGATAGACGAACGTAACGTACCATACGATTTCGCGTAAAGGCTCACAAAAAAAACTCCTTTGACCCACCCAAACGAACCCAAGCTCGTAAGGACGCGGCACCTCAAGCAATTTTGCACGATCGATCGCAGGATCGCTGATTCAACCGTACTGAAAATCTGCTGAAAGCATTCAAATCTTTTGAAACCATTTAAAACTCCTAAAACATTCGAACCTGCGCAGGGTCGATCGCAGGTTCGGTGCTAGAGGTGCCGCGTCCTAAACATCTGGGCTGGTTACCATTCCGAGATCGAAAGTGTCGCAAAACTCTGGAAGGGTTCTGCGAATTTAGAAAAGGCATCACACTTCCCGGCGAAAACACGTGCGATGTGAGCGATTCTCCGCATTTCTTCCATCTCGATGAATGTCTTGCCAACACCCGTCAGCCATGCAATGCAAAAATGGCGGTAATGCGGGAATTGCGGCGCATACGCAGCATGCAATGCAACTTATTCTTCGTTCTGCGCCGCTCAGGATGTTGAAGAAAATTGGCCACAGAAGGCGCGATAATGGTTCGCGCAAGTAATGCGCACAAATGATGCACTGAAGGGATGCCCGCAAGTGATCCGCGCAAGTGATGCGCGCCAATGATGCGCGACAGCGCAGCTGACGCGCGCAATCGATGCCTTCCGAGTTCGCTTTTCGTTTTAATGGCGCAGAAATTCAATTTAAACGACTTAACTTGGAGCGAGTGTGAAGTTTAATCGCTCTGACGGAAAGTTGCCGTGGATTTCCTTCACTATCCTCCAGCTTTCTTGCCAAACATCATGGCGCAATTTCTAGTCGCGAAAGTGTTACCATCGCCACTCGCGTCGCGAAAGTCGTTAGAATCTTTCTCTCAGCAGCACCACAGTGCACTTTGCAACAAACATGGCGGCATGGCGTTTCCACGTCAGGTCTACGTCAGATCGCGGATGACAGGTGGACGCTCGGTGGTAATGACCGCCACGGATTCGAGCCACGTGGCGCGCGGAGAGCGCACCACCAAGGACAATCCAGATCAGCCGTTCGCAGAGAAGGAGGGTTTGATTGAAGGGAAGGCCGTTTTAGCGAAGCCATCCCAGCTGCCACCAGAGCCTCCTAACAAGCTTACAGAGCTCTTTGATAAGGTAAGTTCTTGCTATGGTCTATAATATACGAGTTTATCTAAAGCGCCTCACAGAATAATGTGGCCGCTGCCACCAGAACCGTCTAGTAAACTCGTGTGACTGGGTGGGTGGCATCGGGTCATCCCCGGGACCCTCTTGTTCTCAGGCCTCAGGCACACTTATATCGAGTATGTTCCACTACATGCAGGAGGGGCAATCCCCGTGGATTGACAACCTGACGCGTGATTGGGTGGCATCGGGTCATCTCAAAGAGCTCGTCCGACGTGGCATCAGAGGCATCACCAGCAACCCTACTGTATGATTCATCTGCAGCTTAAAATCCCCTGAATGATCGTGGGTGTGACTAAATGAGTTCTTCTGTTTCATTTTCGTCTGTCCAGCTATTAGGTCTGAATTTGTGGTTTCAGGCCTTCATGCATGCTTGCAGTTTTCTTCTTAAAAGTTTCTGTCACGAGATTGACATCCTTAATTTGCTATTCGGTGGCTTTTGCAGATTTTTGAGAAGGCAATCAGTGGGACAGACGTGTATGACCAGCAGCTCCGGTAAGCTTCACTACGTGGCTGATAGCTTACTTCTTTTACCGTCAGTGAGGTTTTTCTTGTATGTGTAAGCGAAAATAAAAACTTTCCAGTCTCTTGTGCTGGGAGGAGGATAGGTGAATACGTTTTGGACTCATGGGGTTGATGTCATGAAACCTTTCTCAGCTGTTATCATATTTCTCAATATTATCCCATCTGCTATTGTCCCATCCGCTGTTGCTACACATTTCTTTTTTCAGGAACATTTTGTTCCGCGAGGGGGTGCTGCTGGGGGGAGGGATGTTGGAGAGCCATGGGGAGGTGGAGAGGGGGGTGGTGGAGGGCGCATATTGGGAGATGGTGAAGCAAGATATCGGTACTGCTGCTGCTTCGTTAGAAGAGCTGTTCCGTGAATCTAATGGTGAGTTTGAGAGTGCTTATAGCCAGTATAGTAAGGTGAAAAGCCATGGGGAGGTGGAGAGGGGGATGGTGGAGGCCGCGTATTGGGAGATGGTGAAACAAGATATCGGCACAGCTGCTGCTTCGTTAGAAGAGCTGTTTCGTCAATCTAATGGTGAGTTGGATGGGTGCTTATAGCAAGTATAGTAAGTTGGGAAGCCATGGGGAGGTGGAGAGGGGGGTGGTGGAGGGCGCGTATTGGGGGATGGTGAAACAAGATATCGGCACAGCTGCTGCTTAGTTATAAGAGCTCTTCCGTGTTTCTAATGGTGAGTTTGAGAGTGCTTGTAGCGAGTATATTGAGGTAAGGAGGCATGGGGAGGTTGAGAGCAGGGTTGGTGGAGTGTGCGTGTAGGGAGTTGGCAAGGCAAGCTATCACCATTGCTGCGCTTCGTTAGAAGATCTCTTCGAGTTGGGAGTGTTGGAGCTTGCTAGAACTACTTCAGTAGTTGTAAATTACATAATTCTAATTGTAATGCTCCCTTTTATCATGACATCAGAAGGTTTTTATATGTTGACCATCTCTCATCCAATCAATGCTTGCCACATCATCAGGTGGCGATGGGTTCGTCTCCCTTGAAGTCTCGCCGAAGCTAGCCTATGATATGGCAGGTTCGGTGTCGCTGGCTCAGGATCTCCACGCCGACCTGGCTCGGCCGAACCTGATGGTCAAGATCCCTGCCACCGAGCCTGGCGTGGCTGCGATTCGAGAGATGATTTCTCGCATGAAGAATATCAATGCCACTGTGAGCACGCCTTCTGCTTTCCCCCTGCTTGTGTCCTGCTTCCCCCTGCTTGTTTCCTGCTTCCCCCTGCTTGTTTCCTGCTTCCCCCTGCTTGTGTCCTGCTTCCCCCTGCTTGTGTCCTGCTTCCCCCTGCTTGTGTCCTGCTTCCCCCTGCTTGTTTCCTGCTTCCCCCTGCTTGTGTCCTGCTTCCCCCTGCTTGTGTCCTGCTTCCCCCTGCTTGTGTCCTGCTTCCCCCTGCTTGTGTCCTGCTTCCCCCTGCTTGTGTCCTGCTTCCCCCTGCTTGTGTCCTGCTTCCCCCTGCTTGTGTCCTGCTTCCCCCTGCTTGTGTCCTGCTTCCCCCTGCTTGTGTCCTGCTTCCCCCTCCCTGCCACCGAGCCTGGCGTGGCGGCAATTCGAGAGATGACCTCCCGCATGAAAAACATCAATGCCACTGTAAGCACCGTTGGGGCGTATTGAAAGGGTAAGCACCCCCTCTTCTTTGCTCTCTACCATGCAACGCCCTTGCTTCCGTCCGGTTCCCACATGCCAGTGAGCCTCGCGTGGCTGCCATATGAGAGATGACTTCCCGCATGAAGAACATCAATGCCACTGTAAGCACCTCCTATGCTTTCTTTCCTGTGTGAGCCTGGTTCAACCCTGCTTCCTTCCTGCTACCGAGCCTGGTGCGGCTGCCATTCGTGAAATGTCTTCACACATGAAGAACATCGATGCCACTGTAAGCACCCGTACTCTCTCTGTGTGTCACTTACCCGTGTCGATGCTTGCTTTCCTTCCTGCCACCGAGCCTGGTGTGGCTGCCATTCGAGAGATGATTTCCGCATTAAGAACATCAATGCCACTGTAAGCACCCGCTCTCTCTATGCGCGCCCCTCTGCTTTCTTGCCTGCTATAACCCTGCTTGCCCCGCTCCCCTTGCCACTGAGCCTGGTGTGGCTGCCATTCGAGAGATGATTTGCTGCATGAAGAACATCAACTCTCTGTGTGTCCCCTTTAATTTCCTTGCTGCTTTGATGATTGATCATGCTTGTTCCCCCCGAGCACCCGTACTCTCTCTCTGCGCCGTCTCTGCTCTCCTGCCTGCTTTAACCCTGTTCCCCCCTATTATTCCCCCAACCCCTCCGCTCGTCTTCCCTCTAAAGTGCTACAGCGAGGTTATGGAGGCTTTCGTGGCAGACCTCTTTGTTTCCTCTTTGTTTCCTCTTTGTTTCCTTGCCCCCTGCATCGCATCTTCCCCACTCCCCTCCTCTCCCCAAATCCCTGTTCCCTCCTTCTCCCCCTCCCCTCCCTCCCTCCCCACTCCTCCCCCAATCCCACCTCCAACCCCCCCCCCCCCCTACCCCCCCGCTCAGCTCATTTTCTCGCTGACGCGCTACAGTGAGGTCATGGAGGCTGACGTGGCAGACCTGGAAGGTCCTATTTCCCCACCTAACCCCTGTGTCACCCCCTCCTTTCCCCCTTCTTCCCCTTTTCCCCCCTGGGCGCCCCACTAACCGCTCAGCTCATCTTCTCCCTGACGCGCTACAGTGAGGTCATGGAGGCTTACGTGGCAGGCCTGGAGGACGCCGTGGCAGCTGCCAACGCGGCATCTGAGCTGTCAGCAGCCGCGTCTGACTCAGCAGCAGGTGCCCTGCCACGTGTCAACCTCTCCTCAGTCTCCTCCGTGGCTTCGTTCTTCGTGTCTCGGGTGGACAGCGCTGTTGACAAGCGTCTCAAGGTGTGTGTGGCTTATGTGACAGATCGAACGCGCTGAACTTGTCTCAAGGTGCGTGTGTGCTGCACGCCTCTCCTCAGTCTCCTCTGTGGCTTCGTTCTTCGTCTCTCGGGTGGACAGCGCTGTTGACAAGCGTCTCAAGGTGTGTGCGTGTGTCAGCGGAATTTAAAGTCACACAGGTGTTATTAAAGTCACACGCACACACCTCAAGGGCTGAAGTTGTGGCGAAGTTAGTTCAATTGGAGGCATGCGAACAACATAGAAACCTCTCCTTGGTTGCCTCTGTGGCTTCGTTCTTCGTCTCTCGGGTGGACCGTAGACAAACGTCTCAAGGTGTGCGTGTGGGTTACGAATGGAACAAACGACCACAGGGTTACGATTGTTGTGTGGACAAGGTATGTGTGCGGTAGGGTCCACACCTCTGCGGCCTCTCGAAGTGAGGGTGTTTTTGAGACGTCTCAAAAACACCCTCACTTGACGTGGCTATTCTCAAGGTGTGCATGTGGGTTACGAATGGAACCAACGGCCGAGATTGTTGTGTGGTCAAGGTATGTGTGTGGTGGGGTCCACACCTCTGCGGCCTCTCCTCACTCTCCTCCGTGGCTTCGTTCTTCGTTCCCCGTGTCGACAGCGCCGTTGACAAGCATCTCAAGGTGTGTGTGGGTGGGGAAACGAGCAATCTCCAGACGTGTGTGTCGCTTATGGGTACAACAAATGGGCTGAAATTGTTTGTGCTGTGGCTCAGGGAATGCGTGTGCTACACGCCTCTCCTCAGTCTCCTTCCGTGGCCTCGTTCGTTGTCTCTCGGGTTGACAGCGCTGTGCGTAAGCGTCTCAGAGTGTGCATTAGCGTCTCAGAGTGTGCATAAGCGTCTCAGAGTGTGCATAAGCGTCTCAAAGTGTGCTTGTCTAGGGAAAGAACGGCGTGCATGTGTGGTGCATGCCTTTCCTTTGTTGCCTCTTGGCTTCATTCGTTCTTCTTCTGAGGCTCCTCAAAACTCCTCCTCCGCTGTTGCCTCTGCGGCATGGTTTGTTCTTCCTCGTTTCTCGATTCGCTGCGTCTGCGTAAGGGACTCTGCAGGCCATCAGAACAGAGGAGGCTCGGGCTGTGCTGGGCAAGGCAACAGTGGCACAAGCGGCGGTGGCACATCTGAAGCGCCTCTAGAAGCTGATAGCTGTGCCTTACAATGTGCAGGCCATCGGGGCGGAGGAAGCATTGGCTCTGCTGGGCAAGGCGGCAGTGGCACAGGCATTGGTGACATGTGACATGTTTCATGTGCCTGAGTGATGTGTTGATTGCTGGGTGGTCTCGCATACCTGTTCCCTCTGCTCCGCAAGCCATCGGAACAGAGCAGCTGCTGGGCAAGGCAGCAGTGACACAGGCGGCGGTGGCATATCTGAGGCACTCTAAAAGCTGATTGCTGTGCCTTATCATGTGCAGGCAATCGGGACGGAGGAGGCTCGCGCTCTTCTGGGCAAGGCAGCAGTTGCACAAGCCGTGGTGGCATATGACATGTTCAAGACCAAGTTCAGCAGTCCCAGGTGGGTGCAGCAGTCAAGTGTTGAGACGTCTCAAAACAAGCAGCAGTGGCACAGGCCGTGGTGGCATATGACATGTTCAAGACCAAGTTCAGCGGTCCCAGGTGGGTTCAGCAGTTTCAGGTATGTTTCAGGTGGGTTCAGCAGTTTCAGGTAAGTTTCAGGTGGGTTCAGCAGTCCTTAGTGCAGTGACCACGACGAGCATTGAAAGGAGTGTAAGATTCACGATGTTGGCAAAGAACATTGCTTTAATTTTTGCCTATCAATATTTATCAAAAGAGTGATGCCCTGCTCAGGTGGAAGGTGCTAGAGCAGTTCGGGGCGTGAGTATAGCGCCCATTGTGGGTGTCGATAGGAGGGACCAATCCATCGTATCTGGACACCAGAAAGAAAGGAAGAAGCTTGAATTCCTGAATCTTATTGCTTATCTACTGATTGAACCCTCTTCAGGTGGAAGGCTTTAGAGCAGCTGGGAGCGCGGGTGCAGCGACCATTGTGGGCGTCAACAGGAGTGAAAGATCCGTCGTATCCGGACACGAAGTACATCGACGCTCTGATTGGTCCACACTCGGTCAACACCATGCCTGACGCCACCCTGCTCGCCTTTGCGGACCATGGGGAGGTGAGAAGTTCTGTGACTTTATTGCAGTTTATCTATTCCCTCATTTTGTTGGTTACAATGATTTTGTTGGAAGAACTGATCTTTGTGCGCTTTTGTGCATACTGTTATCTGTTCTGTTTTCTGTCTCATAAATTTGACAGTGCTGCTTGCTAAGAAGCAGACACATAAGGTTTTTGAGGGACGTATGCTGCTCCACAAAGTACAAAACATTGATTACCACATGTTATCTCTGCCGGGTGTGTGCAGGTGAAGCGCACTGTAGATGCTGACGTGGATGCTGCCTATGGTGTGCTGGATCGTCTCAAGGCTGTTGGAGTGGACATGGAGGAAGTTGCCAAGGTGAGATGACCTTCTGCAGCTGCTAAACGCGCGTCCACATGCATGGCTACATGCATGGCACGCCTACGTGCATGGTGTGCTGGATCATCTCAAGGCTGTGGGAGTGAACATGGAGGAAGTTGCCCAGGTGAGATGAATTTGAAGGACTGCTAAACGCACCCTCACATGCATAGGTATACGGCTTTTGAGTCGACTCGTAGGTCTTCTCAAGGCCGTAGGAGTGGACATGGAGGAAGTTGCCAAGGTGAGATGACCTTATGCAGCTGCTAATGCGTTCGCACGTGCCTTGATGATGCCTTGTCAATATGTGCGTGGGTACATAGGTGGCACATGCATGCATGGGTGCATGGGTATGCATGCATGGGTGCATGGGTATGCATGCATTGTGTGCATGGGTATGCATGCTTTTTGTGCATGGGTATGCATGCATTGTGTGCATGGCGAAGTTAGGAAGAAAGTAAGAAATGGCTGCTTGTTTTTTTTTTCTTTAGCCCAAGATGAGTCAAGTTTTTTGCGGAATTGTTCTCTTTTTCGCCCGATGGTCATGATTTTGGCAGGAGCTGGAGGCTGATGGCGTTGACAAGTTTGCAAAATCGTTTGATGACCTGCTTGCTGCGCTTCAGCGCAAGGCCACCATGATACGTGGTGCAAGTATCAACTAGGTGGAAGCACATGCTTGCATCGTGTTAGGTTTGCTTGCAGTTACAGGTACGGTATTTGCACTAGACCTCCGCGTTCTACATGTGCTTGCGCATATACTACGGGATTTTTTTATCCCACGACGTTCATTTACATGCCAAGAATAGTATCAAATGGTAATGGATATATACCAATGTTAGCAGCACATGACAAGTTGCAACTGCATCAAATAATAATATTTGAGAAAGCTTGCTTTCTTGTTGTAGCAGTGGCATCGTCTCATTTCAAATGGGTGTAAAGTGTGTAACACTTTCTAAAAAGCTGCTTGTAATGCAGCAATGGCAACGGCGAAGTGCTAGACGCTCTTCGCCAACTATAATAGCAAGGGGTGGAGGCCATTTGGCCCCCACCCACGTCTTTGTTTGAAATTTCAAATGTCTTATTTCCCACCTACCCACCCTAGCAAAAATTGCATGTTGTCATGTGTAATGTAGGTACCATATATATCCTGGACGAGAATGATGTAATGCCCATTTGAAACGAAGCTCGTTGCCATTGCAAACACAAGAAAGCAAGCTTTCTAAATTCACCCATCTATGCATGCAGAAGGTGTGGCCGAATACTTGTTCATCCCAAAAACTAGACCCCTGAAGTATCAAAATGTGCGCGTCCTCGAGGTAAATAAATCGATATCCGCGGCGCGGCGTGAGGTGATAGGCAAGGCGCGTTGTCGTAGCAAATGAGAGCACGAATTCACTAAAGGGCGCAAAATTATCTCTTCCTGGGAGAATACTCGCCCCATGAAGCTGGTCAGGAAGGCGCACTCCGTAGCGAAGACACCCACGAAGCTGCGAGAAGCGAGAGAAGCTGGTATCGAAGGTCGCGAGAGGCTTTCGCAAGTTTTCGCCGAGGCGAAACTTGCGACCACCCTGCTGGAACCTCTTGGTGGTCGCAAGTTTCGCAGGTCAGAAAATCGACTAGAGATACACTGCGGTAATGGCGGCACATGCTCCAGCAGCACGCGACGCAATGCGATGCATCTCACCGGTCGATTCGTGGCGTGCGAGAAATTTCGCGAAAATGGCGCGCGGAGCCAAACGGCAGAACGCGCGCGGAAGCGGAGCGGCCAGCCGAAGCGCGGAAACGGCGCGCGGAACTGACTCCTTCCGAGCAATTTTTATTGGCTCATACTACTACTTATATATTGACAGTCGCCGTCGTAGTCATTGCTCATCTAGACGTCATCGTAAAGCAATTCGTATCTCTTCAACAAGGGATTCCTGTGCTGATTTTCCAACAAATATTCCTATTCTCAAATCTCTGTGCCGCATCGAGCTTTCTTTCCACCATGGTGCAATCCCTTTTGGGGAAAGTGTTACCATCACCACTCCCGTCGCGAGCGTCGCTAAGATTCTCCACTCTGCACCAAAGCCGTGCCAAGCGTGGCGTCATGGCGTGTCCACCTCAGCTCCACGTCAGCAGGTGGATGACAGGTGGACGTTCGGTGGTGATGACTGCCACAGATCCGAGCCACGTGGCGCGCGGAGGGGAGGGTGTGATTGAAGGGAAGGCCGTTCTAGCGAAGCCATCGCTGCTGCCACCGGAGGCTCCTAACAAGCTTACAGAGCTCTATGATAAGGTATGAATTCATGTCTTATGAGTGATAAGAGCCTTTCTGTTCTGAGGTCACACAAATGTAATGGCATCGCTGCTGCCACTGGAGCCTCCTAACAAGCTTACGGATCTCTTTGGAAAGGTAAGAGCTTATTATGGGTGATACTATAAGAGGATTTCATAGGCGCCTCGACTCGTAACCGTCAGTGCGAGCACCACACACATCTCCTAATCCACCCACAGATCTTTCTCCCGTCCTTTCTTGAAGTGGCCGAAACATGAGTCGTTAGGAATTTATGTATCCAAACATTAAGAAAGATTGCGTTCACGCTTCAACGCTAAGGACTTACGCTGGAGGAGCAGTCCTTGTGTATAGAAAATCTTAGCGGCCTCGTCTTGGTCACCCTCTTGTTCTCACGCACACCTTATATCGAGGATATTTCACCGCAAGCAGGAGGGGCAAATCCCCCTGAAAAGTCCCGTTTTAGCGACCCTCATGTTCACGCACACCTTGTATCGAGTATGTTTTTACTACATGCAGGAGGGGCAGTCCCCATGGATTGACAACCTGACGCGTGATTGGGTATCATCGGGTCATCTGAGGGTGGTCCTGGTCACCCTCCTGTTCTCACGTTCGCCTTATATCGAGTATACTTTTCCGACATGCAGGAGGGGCAATCCCCATGGATTGACAACCTGACGCGTGATTGGGTATCATCGGGTCATCTGAGGGTGGTCCTGGGCACCCTCCTGTTCTCACGTTCGCCTTATATCGAGTATACTTTTCCGACATGCAGGAGGGGCAATCCCCGTGGATTGACAACCTGACGCGCGATTGGGTGGCATCGGGTCATCTCAAAGAGCTGATTCGATGTGGCGTGAGAGGCATCACCAGCAACCCTACGGTAAGTGTTTTCTTCGTGTCACATCACGACTCAAGATGATGGCTCAAATGTTCATGGCACCGTTGGTGCTGTTCCCACCCACCAAGCATATGTATTGTCCTGAATCGCTCATCGGAATTCGGGGTGACGCACCCGTTTTGCCTGGGACGACGCGGGGGGGTGACGGTCGACCGAGCGTCAGGGCGGCCAACTCCCTCGCGTGAGTCCCCCGCCAGGCTGGCGCGGGGCGGGGCTCTGCCCACGCCCCCCGCCCCGGCCCCCCACCCCCAATTCCTACAGAACCCCACGTTGCAGCCGAGGGGTGGCAAACTCGCGCGTGAGCGACGAGGGGCCTAGTTACCCCTTCACGGAGGCGGACATTCGCTTCGCGTTGCCCGCGAGGCCCTAGTAACCCTCTCGGGCTGCCCTCGCCGGGCAGGCGGGTTGGTTGCGAAATTCAAAGGGCCCGACCCCACCCTCGTCAACATCGTTGGCCCCTCGGGAGGGGACACGTGGCTCGCCCTCGCCACCCCGACCACCCCCACGCACGGCCCACACAAACCACCCACCTCCGCCCCTCTGAACCCCGCCCTCGAGGGCATGCCCTGTACGGGCCGAAGCCGGAGGCTCGCCCTCGGCCACGACGACCTGCCTCGTCCGCCGAGCTGCATACTAGGCGACCGACGGCCCACGCCCTTTTCTTGATGGGGGTTCCCACTCCATCCGTCATTTCTCCTTTCCAACTTCGCTTTCCGATTTCTTCTGCCTCCCTGTCAGCTCTCCGCGCTCCTCCCCAAACCTTCCGTGATACCGACCGTGGTGTTAGCATGGCGACCAGTAGGATAGCACTGCCTGCGACTGAATTCCCCCTCCACGTGCCAGTGGGCATCGGTGGGTACGGGGTGACGCTTGAGATGAAGGACTACGAAGTCCTTCGCGACAAGAAGGCTGAGTTCACAGAACCTTGCTTCGACCTCGGCCTCGCGTGATCGCGCATCCCTAGGTCGCGTTGTTCGTCCTTGTCCTGCGCGTTTTCGTTGGCGTCCTTTCTAGGTCGACGTTGGCCTTGTCGTTTTTCCGCGTGGTCGACGATGTCCGTCTGCGATGGACGTTTTGGCGCTGCGTCGTCCTATTAACTAGTTTGCCTGTCCTCGACCATTGGCCCTATGTCGGTGACGTCCGTCATGCTGCCGGCGGCATCGCCGTCGTGCGAAACCTTGGTCCGAGTCCGCTTGTCTTGCTGTCCGCGCTTTACCCCGGCGCCCGGCATGGATTGTAGCTCACCGCGCAAGTGTTTCGCTCCCGCCTTTTCGCCCCCGGTTGTCCCAGGTACGAGCTCGATCGTCTGGGAAAAGGCGACAGGATGATCCTGATCCGCGGTGCGAGTCTTCGCGCTGCCAGGACGGCGTCGAAGGCGGACCATCTGATTTTCGGGTCGGCCTTCGGCTTCGAAGCCCTCGCCATCCCCCTGTGCACCAGGTGAGTGTTCCGCGCCCGTGAGGTTTGATCCACGCCGACCGCGTTGCTTGTTGTTCCCGGACAGAACCCTGAATGTCTCCGTCGTGCTTGTGTGGGCAGTGGCGGACCTCTTCCCGGCAGGCACTGTAGCGTCCTGCTTGTTGTGCGCCCTGGCGACCTGCTTTTGCCCGACGAGGAGGAGATCGGGACGTTCTACCGCCACCTCGACCCCAAAACCTCCTCCAAGCGGCACGAGGAGGAGGCAGCCAACGTTCGGAGGTGGGACAACGTCGACGGCTAGTCGCGCCGCTCCTTAACGGCGTTCATGCCGCCTTGTCTGATGGCTCTTTTCCGTCTCGTAGCGCAGGTTTTTCGGCGAATGCGTGAAGGCGGAGTTGAGCCGTGGGGGAAGGCAGTGGACGGCTACGCCTCCTTCCGCCAAAGTCCTCTCCGAACGTCTGGAGAGTCTTGCCGCTCCCATCCGTGATGTGAGTTTCCAACGTCCATGTCGCCTTGTCGCCTGGGCTATCGTCGTCCAGGCGTCGACTCACCCTTTTCTTCGGCGCCATGTGCTTCGGATGTTGATGCAGAAATTGCCCGACATCCTCAAGGAGGAGGTCGCCGGCACGGGGCTGTTGGCGGTCAACGCGTTCGCGTAGTCGTTGGAGCATCTGGACGACGTGCATCGTAGCTGCGATCCGCTCATCGTCGAGAACCCGAAGATGGTTGGCTTGAAGGCGCTCCGACTGGAGCTGCTGCACCACGCGGAGAAGGCCGCGTCGAACAAAGGGGAGGCGGCGTCGACCGTGGCCCGTGGCGTCGGAACCGCCATCGCTCTGGGTGGGGAGGAGGAGCACGAGAGGGAGGACGTCGAGGGGGGCGGGGAGCACGACGGTGGCTCGGAAGAAGAGGAGGACGTGGAGCGTGAGGAGGACGACGTGGCTGTCACCGGCGAAGAGGAGGCAGTACAGTTCGCCGGTGAGAAGGTTGCGGATAAAAGCGGCGGCAGCGGACCCAATTTGGGCAAGAAGGCCCGGGGCAGCAGTGGCTCGACCCCGACTAGGATGGCGTCAAAGGCGGCTATCGAGCGTTTGAAGGCGGCGGAGAGGGAGATCAAGAAGCTGAGGGAGGAGAAGCTGGTGGCGGAAAAGAGGCTGGAGTTCCAGACGGCCCGGAACGACACGATGTACGGCGTGGTCACCTCGGCCGTGAACAAGCTCACTACAGTCGCCGAGGGCGTGACCCATCTCGAGCAGACGTCGGGGAGGAGCATCCAAACGGCGGTGGATGCTATGAGGGCGGTCGTGCAGGAGGCGGTGAGCTATCGCGGCTCCACCCTAGAATTCATGAACACGCAGTGGCTGCCCACCGTGCAGGCCCTGCACTTGACGGCTACTGCTGCACAGGGTAGGCGACGGGAGGACGACCTCCTGCTGCTTCGAGGTGTGGCAGATGCTCTTGGCCAGAAGATCAAAACAGTCGTGTCTGCCGAGGTGAAGGCCGCCATGGAGGGCGAGGCGCAGCGGATCGCCGCTGCCGTGACTGCGAAGGTCGTCCAAGAGCTTAGGGACGACCTGGTGAAGGCGGTCACCTCCGCGACCCAACAGGGCATTGGCACCGCCGGGTTTAGCCTCCTCCCAACTGCTCTCGCGTCGGTGATGCACGGCGGTCGCGCAACCGCCGAGGAGAGTGGGCCGGCCCCAAGGCAGTCGGGGAAAAGGGTCGCCGACGAAAAATCCCTGACCGGCGACCAGACCAGCGGCTCTAAGCGAAGCAGAGGACCTGCGATGAAACGCGGTGTGGGCATGGATCCTCCTGCCCCTCCGTATGTTCGTATCCCCGGCGTCCACGACTTGCTGAAAGATAGACTTGGCGCGCGACCGAGCGAAGATTTTCGACAGGTCGACGTCGCGCTCCAGGATCCTCAGTCGGTGGTCGGGAAGACCGGTGGGCAGCCCGTGGGGGACAAGCAGCCACAGGCCCCGACCGATCCGCCGAGCGCACACGACGCGCCACCGAGCTGCGACCAGGTGAGTCTGGCCGACGAGCTCATGGGAGAGGCATCCGTGGTCGCGAAGCAGGGCTGGCAGCCAGCGGCGGAACAGCATCCACACCCCGAGGCCAGTCCGGCGACTGCACAAGGCGCTCGACCGAGCGGCGGCACGGCCCAGATGGCAGACGACATGCACGTCACAGCGGTGGTCGGCCAGGCGCGCGAGGAGCCCGTTGCGGTCCAGCATGTTCAACCCTCGACGAGTACGCCGACTGCGCGACCAACCGGCGTCACAGCGCAGCTGCCCGACGACCTCCTGCGCCCCGCAGCGGTTGTCGGACAGCAGGGCGGGCCGCCCGGTGCGGGCCAGCATCTTCACCCGTCGACGAGCACGCCGACCGCACAAGACGCGCGTCCGGCTGGCGTCACGGCGCTGGTAGACGAGCTCTTGCGCCCAGCAGCGGTGGTCGGACAGCAGGGCGGGCCGCCAGGTACGGGCCAGCATCCCCCCACCGCGACGAGTCCGGCTGGCGCCACGGCGCTGGTCGACGAGCTCTTGCGCCCAGCAGCGGTGGTCGGACAGCATGTCCAGCAGGCTGCCAGTGCGGCCAGCTTACCCGTTCATGGGGCCATGGTCGCCGCGGAACCGATCCCGATCCCAACGGCTGTTGAGTCTCGGGCGGTCGAGGCTCTAGTAAGTCAAAAGCCATCGTTCGACGAGTATCTGAAATGGCTCGAGGATCAGGGTCAGAAAACCCCGGTAATTCCTCCGACTCACAGCAACCAGGCGGTCGACCAAGGAGCAGAGGCAGCAAACGTCGCGGTGGCGACTGCAGGGCCGAGTGGCTCAACGGTGGAGGCGGCTATGTGGAGAGCGGCGGAAGAGGCCGGCGGGGTGGACGAAGAGATCCTTGCCAGCATCGTGATGCCGGACCCGGAAATTGAGGTCATGCGGGAAAAACTACAAGCAGCAGCTCCCACCGTGGGAGCGCAACAGGGTGCACCAGCCGCCTCGACTGCTCCTGCGGAGGACCATAGCGCGGCTGGCGCCAAATCCCCCCCGGCCACAACCGGTGAGGTCGGCGATGGGAAGCAGAAGCGCAAGGGCAAGGACAAGGCGAAGGGCGGCTCGGCGAAGGTCGGCTCTTCCAAGGGGACGTCCAAAGCGGCCGCGCAGGGTCGGAAGGGTTCAGGCGTCCGCGTTGACCCTTCAAATGGGCTGGCCATCTCGGAGATGAAGTTTGGGAAGAAGAGCCGTTACATCTGCCGGTCGATGGACAAGTCCGAGGCCGCCTACTGCATCGCTGTCGCCGTTTCGTCGTTCGACGGCTTCGTCAGCGACGTGGTTCTCGAGGAGTTCGGTGGGGTCAAGGAGGAAGTGATGGCGCAGTATAAGGCGGACTGGAATGTGGCGCGATTGATTCCGGGGGGCATGTGGATGGTCATGTGGAGCAGAGGGGCGAACGTCTTCCGCGACAGGTAAGCTTGGCGAATGCTCAATTTGGTGCTCGTTTCAGTCGGTTCGCGTGGGGCGGTCGGTGACGGTGGGTATTCCTGCTGTGTTTCGCAGGTTCCAACAGGTGGTCGCGAAATACAACAGGATAACCGGAGCCGACCGCGCAGCTCTCATGTTGGCTCTTCGCCCGGCGGTGTGGTTCGGCGACCTTCCGGAGTCGACCGAGCCCGAGAAGGCCGCGAAGAAGAAGGTGGCGAGCGACATGATCGCACGCGTTTCGATGTGTGCCGCCTTCGCACCGGTGGCCGCGAAAGTGACGCCCATTCCGGGCGTCGGGTCGGAGCGGTTGTCCGAGATCCTCGCCGGTACTGCGGCCGCGGTGTGGTGTTTTTCGGAGACCAATGCCACGGCGGAAGTAGCGGCCGGCGAAGGGGGGGCGGCAGCGACCATGCGCGGAGCGTCCAACGAGTTCGCGAGTCGGTGTCGGACCGTCATCGAGGCGGTGCTTCAGCGGGCGGCCTCCCGGGTGGTCGTCGTAGGGGAGGGAGGTCGCCGAAACGGTGACGAAGGACCTGCAGGCGGCTGTGGTGAGGTCGCTGCCTGAGGTCGGAGAGGAGCGCGAGCACGACGAGCTGATCGCCCGTGTCATGATAGAGAACCTCGCCTTCTGGGGGGACTGCAATGTCGGAGGCCCGAAGCTCAAGGCTCGCGGCGTCGATTTGCCTATCGACCCCCAGATGAAGATTATCATTCGGGACAGGGGGGCGAGGGGGCAGCAGCACAAAGGGAAGCAGGTCGCCGACGCCTAGGTCGACGAAGGCTGGCCCGCCTGCTCGTAGCATGGTCGGCGTGGGTGCAAACGCTGCAGGCTTTCTGACGAAGACCTACGAACGCTGGCCCGACCGCTCGTGACATGGTCGACGTGTCCGGTTTCGGGTGCTGTTTTGTTGTTTTGTTGTGCCTCTCCGGCTTAGGGATGCTGAACTTGTTCGTCGGTAGTTTTTTAGAAACGTTGTGAAGTAGGTTTTGTGGTGTGGAGTCGGTTTGATGCATGAACAAGAGACAAACTTCTACTAATTTACAAGTCGAAACAACGTTGGCAGTTAAAGAAAACCATATAGGATCACTAGAACAGGTCGGACACGCTCAGCACACCCCCAGCCCACTCTCAGCCCGCCCTCAGCCCGCCCTCGGCCCGCCCTCAACCCACCCTCAGTCACACCACGCCCAGCCAGCAGCACAAGTCGGACCCAGACGCAGTACCCTCAGCCCGCCCTCTTGCGCTTCCCTGCGCCGATGGCTCCCGCCGTCGCCTCGGCCTCCAAGCCGACCTTATTGGCCTTCTCATCCCACAAGTCGCCGAAGAGCCTCTTTCCCCAGTCAGCGTCCATGTAGCCCGCCGTGACCACGCCCCACGCAACGGCGAGCTTCCTCGCCAGCGGCTTGTCCAGACCCTTGATGCCGACCGACTTTCCGTCGGCTGTGGTGGGGACCTTGATGGGCGGGGTTGCACGGAGGACCAAGAGCGCGTCGCTGAAAGTGGAAAGCCCCGTTCGCCCCAGGTTTTCGAGTAGCTTGATGACGGCGGCGGTGTCAGCGGCGTCGTCGCTCCGCCGCAAGTCGTGCACCGCTTCCATGATCCGCCTCATCCGGCGAGCGCAGTGCTGCAGCGCATCGTTTTTCCCCGTCTCACCCACCTCGGTCGTGGGACGAGAGCTCTTCGCCGACTTCGCCGACGCGGCGGGTTTGTCGCCCTTTTTGACCTTGCAGATCATGCGCGTGTGTCTGACGAGGAATCTGTGCTCGTCGTAACGTTCGCGCAACGGACGCGAGTCGAAGTTGGACGGGTTGTTCCACCAGCGCCATGCAGCCTCGACCGTCTTGGATGTGCGCCAGGGATGCACGACGTTGAGCTCGTACGTCAGGTCATCGTTCTGTTCCTTCTCGATCTTGACGGACGCTGCCTTCTCGCGGCGGTCATCGGCCTTGACGGTGCCGGCGCAGTCGGCGTCGGCCGTGCCTCGGCCAGCTTGAGAGCGTTCATCAACTTCGCGATCTCCGCGTCCTTCTCCTCCAACTTCTTTTGCATTTCAAGCTTCTCGATCGCGGCATCCTCCCTCTGGCGGTGCAGCATCATGGTGAGCTGGTCGACCCGATATTTGGCGTCAACTCGCGCGCTGAATTCCTGCGATCCAAGGGGGATGGTCGGCAAAAGGTGAGGCAATGTGGCAGGACGACTTGTTTTACAGGTCGCCGAAACGCGCACGCCGTACCTCTTGGGGGTTCTCGCTCGGAGTACTGCGCGTCGCGATGGTTTCGAGGTCCACCCGGTTGACGTCCTTGGCCCATTTCTGGAAGTCGGGGTCGCGGCAGAGCTTGGAACTCTTGACGTACGGGTGCCACGGTTCGCGCATCAGCATGCACGCAAGATCCTCGGCAACGATTCGGCGGCCGAACTCGATGAGCGATTGCAGGAAGTGCACCCCGGCCGTGTTGGGCTCTCTCGCGGATGCGCACCTTACCGCCTGCGAGTCGAACACAAACACAAACACAATCAGCCGTCGGTAGAATGTCGTCGTGGAAATGGTCGGCGCGCTGTCGGCGTTTTTGCCGTTCGAAATGCTCACCTTGGCCAGTTCCGCTTCCGCCCACGGAAAGATGTGCTGGGCGATGAGGGCCACCACCTTGTCGTCGGGCTTCACCATGCTCCGGCCGAGGTGGTAGTCGCCGCGCTTGCCCGTGTAGCCGGCCTTTCTCAACACCGCCGCCTTCGGGATGGTCGTGATGTAGCTCTTCGCGAGCTTGTCGAGCACCCAGTGGCCCAAGTCGGCGATGTCAGATCGCGGAACGCCGTCGTCGGCCAGCTCCTGTGCCCCACCCGCCCGGGCGGCGTGGGTGTTGCGCGTGATGAAGATCTTGTTCGTCCGCCACATCTCTTTCGTGATCCGAGAATGTGATGAAGCCGGCAGCTCTTTTTGTGCCTTGTCGTTCTGAGCATGAAAGAGGTGCTTGTGATACCAGCTGTACGGAGTTGTGAAGTCGAGGGGCGGCACACATCGAGAGGTGGGCGAGCGGCTCAGCTGGTCGTACACGAAGTGCAGCCACAACAGTGTGTGACCGACGGCGCACATCTCTTGCTCAAGGTGTCTCGCCGCGTAGCTGTGATGCAGACGAGCATCCTTGTTCGTCTTGGAGTTTCGTGACGCGACGACCATGACAACCGGCCGTCGCGTGGAGTGCTCGGGCGACGCGTTCCCCATTCTGTACAAAAACAGGTCGGGGAGCTCGATCGCTCGGAGACTGCCTCCGCGGAGAAGGGTGTGGTGACCCAAGAGGGTCATCGTCTTCATCAGCAGAAACTTCCACAGTGTCTGGGAGGGGGTGGCCGCCTTGGGTTCGTACGCCCGAGCTGCCCAGGTCGGCAAGACCTTGAACATGAGGTGGCGGATCTGGTCGGTGGTGTACGTGTCGCCGAGCGTTCCGCGGTGCCGGTCGACGCAATCCCTGCACATCAGTTTCCACGATGATTGGGTTAGCTGGGCGAACCGGGAAACAGGCGTGAACCGCGCGGGACGACTTGCCGACTTACCTGTCGTCCCTGTGCCACTTCTCTCTGACCATCGCGCGCACCTCCGAGCGGACCTCGGAGATGTCGTACATGATGTGGAGCTCCTTCACCCCGAAGAGCGTCCCCTCGACCTTGCAGGCCGTCTGGAGCGCTTTGATGCGGATGAGCAGCATCGAAACGGTTGTCGGCTTCAGGGGCTGGACACGGACGTCGGGATTCAGCTCCTCGAGCTCCTCCGCCTTTGCAATACCTTCCTGCCTCGCGATTGACAGAATGTACGCCCTGATCCGCGTGGCGTTGACGCGGGGACCGTGCATCCATTGTAGGTCGCCCTTGGCGGTGTGCCACTTATCACCCATGTCTTCGTTGATGTACCTCCCTATCTCGTCCTCGTGTTCCAGCACGCCGTCCCCCTTGACTCTGGCGGTTTGGTGTCTTGGAAGGTTCGCGCAGCACCATCTCCTGAAGTCGAGCAGCGCCCGCAGGTACTGAATCCGGGTCGTTCTCGCCTCCAGCGTGTCCAGATGCCGGAAACCCCACATCATCCTCAGCAATCTGTTCTTCTTGGCGAGCTCTTTGTTGATGTCGAAGGCGGCTTCCGCAAAATCGTTGCGCGGAATGTTTTGCAGGAAGGCGTCATCTTTCTCGTCGGCTGCCAAAAAGTCCTCTACGGTCAGATACATGTAGTCGTTTTCTGGAAATGGTCCAATTGGCGGCGGCTGCTCCGTGACCGAACGCGGCGAGTACCGGTCCGGCTCGGGTTCGGGAGCCCCTTTCGTCCCTGGCGGTAGGGGGATGGTCGGGTCGGCGGGAATTTTTGCCCTAGCGGCATCTACGTCGACCACCATGTCGGCGGGAATATTTGCCCTAGCGGTGTGTACATCTTCCTCCATGAAAGGCTCGTTCAGGTCGGGAATCGCGCTGCTCCCCGCCGGCGGCGCGACACCAGCCATCTCGGCGGGTAGAGTTGTTCCCGTCGGCCTCTAGTTGTCGCCGCGATCTCGCTGCGGTACGTGCTCAGCCCACCAAAGTCGATACTGCACAATCGCTGCCGTGTATTGCCTTCGCACCGTGGCCCTAAAGGCCGCCCGTCTTTCGGCCCTCTCAACGTTCGCGGCGATCGTCAACTCCGCGGCAATGTCGGTCAGTTCGGGAATTTCGGGAAGTAAGGGCGGCAGATTGGTGTTCTGCTGGGTGATGTTCGGAGTGGCCGTGGTCGGCGGCACAATGGTCGGCGGGGTGTGAAGTGGCAATGTATCGTTCGGCGGGGTGTTATCCGGCGGGATGTTGTTAGACTGGTCCCTGACCATTGGAGGCCGCACGGGGGATCACCGGCGATGACAATACTGGTTGTGGGTTTGAAGAAAGTGGTCGGCGACTTTCGGTTGTTGTCGACCTAGTTAGTCGTCCTAGTCGGAATGATCCTAAGTCAGAAGCCCGTAAAGTTTGCCGACCTAAACGCACTCTAAACCGGCGTGGCTCGTCGTCGACCCTGCACCACGCGTGGTCGGTCGGTCTCCGAGAAGCGTGAAAATGAGCAAGGGAAATGTGGCTCACCAGAATGGAAATGAATGCAATGCAACAAACAAGTGTCGAAATGCCATGGACACTTGGCCGTCAGGGGGTCATAGCATAGAGAGGCACAGTCGCGGTTCGGGCGGACAGATGTTGGCGGACGATCCGTGGGCATGTCTCCAACTCTGCATGCAAGGCAGAACCGCACGGCGGCGCAATGGTCGACGTTGCACGGGGCACTCATGTCTTTTTCGCAGCCGACTGTCCGGTGTTCCCGTCACGGTGAACCGTGCTTACACGTCGGCGTGACGTAGCAGTGCTCATGGCGTCGCCCGACGATGGTATCCCGCGGGGACGTTCCCGCCAGCAGGCCGGCGAAGGCTTGATCGCCGCGTGGACAGACGTTTGCCGATCGATGTTCGCCGCGTGGAATGTTGTGTTTCGGATGGGCGACGTGTGGCTCTGCGCGCCAGCGCAGTGGTCGGCCAGAAATCGCGGTGGGCCTCACGTCGCAGTCCGCGCCGATGGCTAGGTGGACGTCGTGGCACGCTGACCGCGACCGGCGTCGTCGAGGTGTCGACCTCGTACGGAGGGTCCGTTGAGAGGTGCTATTGGGGTATTTTTCATCGAGATTGCCGGGTGACGCAGGGTGACGCTCCTCGCCCAGGACGTGCACTCAGTTAGCCGGACAGGATGACGCAGGGTGGCGGATCCCTTTCCCGAGCCGCGTCGTTTTTGCACCCGGATGTAGTCGGCGCGTTGAGATATACCATGCTGCACCCCCCTAATTTCTGATGTCATTGTGAAATGATTCTTCATTCATTGTTTCACGTAAACTGGCCATCGTTCTCTCTCTCCTTTTGGGCGGCGTTGTGTTGTGTTGTTTTTTTTTATTTTCACATCAGATCTTTGAAAAGGCGATTAGTGGGACGGACGTGTATGATCAGCAGCTTCGGTAAGCCACCATTAAATTATTGTTATTCTTTTAATGTAAGCCACCGTTAAAGATTGTTGTACTTTTGATCCATTAACTTTTTATCCGCACCATGAAAAAACCTATACGGTTTTAATGAACTTTCCATTAAACTTGGGGGGGGGGGGGGGGGGGGGGGGGGGGGTAAGGAGGGATGGCGTAGACCAATGCAGAGCTCTGGAAAATCCTGGGAGTGATGTTTCTCATTATTATCCCATCTGCTATTGTCTCACCCGCTATTACAACATTTATTTTCTTTTTCAGGGGCATTTTGATCCGTGAGGGCGTGCCACTGGGTTGAGGGATGGTGGAGAGCCATGGGGAATCCTGGGGGTGAAAATTCTTTTTAAGATCCCACCCGCTATTGTCCCACCCACTATTGTTCCACCCGCTATTGTCCCACCCGCTATTACCACGTCTATTATTTCAGGGACAAATTGATCCGTGAGGGCGTGCTACAGGAGGGAGGGATGGCGCAGAGCCATGGGGGGGTGGAGAGGGGGGTGGTGGAGGGAGCGTATTGGGAGATGGTGAAGCAAGATATCGCCACTGCTGCTGCCTCGTTAGAAGAGCTCTTCCATGAATCTAACGGTGAGTCTGAGAGTGCTTATAGGGAGTATAGGGAGGCAGAGAGCCATGGGGAGGTGGAGAGGGGGGTGGTGGAGGAGAATGCTTATAGGGAGATGGCGAGGCAAGATAACACCACTGCTGCTGCTTCGTTAGGAGAGCTAGTCAGTTTGGGAGTGTTTGAAGCTTGCAAAATCATTAGCTGTAACCTTATTGGAATATTTTCTTGTTCTAAGTACCATCTCTCATCCAGCCAGTCAATGCCTGCCACGTCATCAGGTGGCGATGGGTTCGTCTCCCTTGAAGTCTCGCCGAAGCTAGCCTATGATGCGCCAGGTACGGTGTCGCTGGCTCGGGAGCTTCACGCTGACCTGGCTCGGCCGAACCTGATGGTCAAGATCCCTGCCACCGAGCCTGGCGTGGCTGCGATTCAAGAGATGATTTCCTGCATGAAGAACATGATTGCCACTGTAAGCAACTTTGGGGCGTATTGAAAGGTCCCAGTTCAGACACGGTTAGGCACAGTAAGGCCACTAATGTACAGGACAGATGGATAATTCTGTTGCAGATTACTGAGGATCAGCCACAGTTAGGCCACTTATGTACTGCTGAGTGGGCGCATGGATAATTCTGTTGCAGGTTGCTTAGAATCAGCGTTTTCCCCTTTTCGTTCTTCTTTCCCCCCTCCCGCTCGCCCCCCTCACTTCCCCTCCCCCACGTGCCCCCTCTGGTGTCCCTTCCCCCCCCCTATTTAGCTCATCTTCTCTCTGACGCGCTACGGCGAGGTGATGGAGGCTTACTTGGCAGGCCTGGAGGACGCCGTGGCAGCTGCCAACGTGGCAGCAGACGCCCTGCCACGTGTCAACCTCTCCTCTGTTGCCTCGGTGGCTTCGTTCTTCATCTCTTGTGTCGACAGCGCCGTTGACAAGCATCTCAAGGTGTGTGTGGGTGAGGAGGTGCGTCTGTGGGTGAGGAGGCATGCGAGTGGGTGAGAGACAGAGCGCGCTCAAGGTGTGCGTGGGTGAGAGCAGGCTGTGGCGGCATCTGACGTGTTTTATGTCTCAAGTGTGTTGATTGGCGATTAATATCATGTGTGTGTGTGTGTGTGTGTGTGTGTGTGTGTGTGTGTGTGTGTGTGTGTGTGTGTGTGTGTGTGTGTGTGTGTGTGTGTGTGTGTGTGTGTGTGTGTGTGTGTGTGTGTGTGTGTGTGTATGTGTGTGTGTTTGTGTGTGTTTGTGTGCGTGTGTGTGTGTGTGTGTGTGTGTTTGTGTGTGTTTGTGTGCGTGTGTGTGTGTGTGTGTGTGTGTGTGTGTTCTGCCCTGCAGGCCATCGGAACAGAGGAAGCATTGGCTCTGTTGGGAAAGGCAGCTCTGGCACAGGCAGTGGTGGCATATGACATGTTCAAGACCAAGTTCAGCGGTCCCAGGTGGGCTCAGCAGCTTCCGTTGTGTAGTCCAAGGTGGTTTCAGGAGGAGTGACAGATTCATTGTTTTTAGACACAAAGCACCTGGTCCGTTCCTTGCCAATTAGTTTCATCGTTTCTCTCTCTCTTTCTTCTTTTTTTTGTTTTTGTTTTTTTTTAACCAATTGGACTGCTCACAGGTGGGAGGCTCTGGAGCAGCTGGGAGCACGGGTGCAGCGACCATTGTGGGCGTCAACAGGAGTGAAAGATCCGTCGTATCTGGACACAATTTACATCGATGCTCTGATTGGTCCACACTCGGTCAACACCATCCCTGACGCCACCCTTCTTGCCTTTGCCGACCATGGGGAGGTGAGAAGTCTGCGATTCTCTTTCTGTTGTTTTTTTGTTTTTTTGTTTTTTTTGTTTTTTTTTCCGACACGTTGTTTACAGTGAACCGCACATGTTTTCTGCATCCTGTTCCCTGTTCTGGTTTCACTCCCATCTTTTTTTAGGAGTCTGTTTGCTTAAGAAGCGGATACAGAAGAGTGAGGATATTTGATGCTGCACAGGGTATGATACATTGATTTATGTGTTAATCTTTACGCGATTTGTGCAGGTGAAACGCACTGTAGATGCTGACGTGGATACTGCCTATGCTGTGCTGGATCGTCTCAAGGCTGTTGGAGTGGACATGGAGGAAGTTGCCCAGGTGAGATACATTCCTACAATCGCTAAATGTACTGCTGAACACACCCTCACACGCACGGGTGCATGGGTGTACGGCTTCTGAGTCGACTTGAAAGTTGTGTCAAGGCTGTTGGGATGGCATATAAGGAAGTTGCCAAGGTGAGGCTATTTTCACAACTTCTAATGCGTGACCACGTGCATGGGTGCATGGGTTTGTGAGAGAAGTTTGACAACAATTAAATGCTTTCCCTTGTGCAGTGTGAAGGAACATGTGCATGGATGCTTCTTTGCATGGGGAGGGAGAGTGAAGAATGGGGGAGGAGTTTACTGCTTAGTGTTGAGTATTCTTCTTACACAAGGTGAATCAGGTGTTGCTACCGGTGCAGTTTAATCAGGCATTTTGCTTGCAATCTCTCTCGACCTATCGTAATGGTTATGGCAGGAGCTGGAGGCTGATGGCGTTGGCAAGTTCGCAAAATCATTTGATGACCTGCTTGCTGCTCTTCAGCGCAAGGCCACCATGATAAGTGACAGAAGCATCAACTAGGTCTGCATGGTGTTACGTTTGCTTGCAGCTGCCGTTATTTGCTGTGGTCTGAACCTCCATGTTTGAGTTGTGCTTGTGTGCGCACCGTACAGGTACTTGTAGCATCACTTTCCTTTTTGTACATGTGTTTGTTTGTTTGTGGTAATATTTTGAACCCGATGTTGTAGGGAAATACCATACGGTAATGCCCAGTGTTGCTTGCTGTAGTAGTATCATGCACGACCAGTCCCTGCTAGCACTAAAGTCACACTACTGAGCTGCTTGCACACTTCTTGGCAGAGAGAATTCAGCATATAATGGGTAGTGACTTGATGGTAGCTTTCCCCCCCATGTGCTGATCACCACCTCGCAATAGCTAGGATTCAGTGCCCGGCCATAGCGGAACATCCAGTCAGTGTGAAGCGGATCCGCGATGCCTGGATCACTCTCAGCTGTACATATTTCCATAGCACTTTTAACAATTTGCAAGCAAGACATGTCAGGACCTGAAAGAAGCACCACAATCAGTTGAAACGAGCAGGATGATATGTGAGAGAGATGGGCAGTGAAATTTGTTGGCAAGAACCTTGAAAGCGATGGTGGGAGTATATGTGCCCTGTGTTCATTTTCTTGCGAGCGATTGACAGCACGTCTTTGAAGTCTCCTTCAATGCCATTCAGCCTGCCACACACAACAATAGGGCATAAGCAAAGATAATGAGAAATTGAATTATCACACCTCAAGAAATTAGCACTTACTTCCAGCTCCCAAGGAAGAACCTTGCAGGAGCAGATCCCTTGTTCTTGTTGAAATTCGCACACATGAGCGCAGGAATAGACGGTGGCACAGAGCTAATGTGCTGCCACAGAAGCAACGCTCCTTTCGCTCTTGCTGAAGAACTTCCTGTTTTCACCCTAACATTGTAAGCTTGAAACGCATACCCTGGTGGCTGTAGCCCTTTCACTCGGAATTTAACCCAAGTGGCAACTGCCGGAGTGGATGCACCCCAGGATGTGCTCCCACACACTTCAGGCGTCTCTGAAAGCCAGAAGTTCCCGCTCTCCATCACCTCAACCTGAAACAGCAGCATGCGTTTTATGGCTTCCATACATAAATAAATAGATAAAACGGGTTCTGACATCAGCAGTGCGCTCATGTTAGACGTGGGCTGCTTGTGATAGCTTTGCTGACATGGGTACCTGGTCTCGGTTATAAAAGATGGCAGAATATTCTTCGCCAGGAGCGTCTTGGCTCTTGGATCCAAACCACTCATATGCTGCTGGTCGTAAGACATGTTTTAACCTTTCCATAATCATTACGACAGCCAAAGACCGACAATGCCATACCTTCCAGCTCATTCTGAAGATACTCGATCTGCTCCTTGGATCCTGAACTCAATCCATTGTTAGAAAAGAGGCCCTGTAACGCGGATTCGAAGCTGAAATTTTGGATCGCTACCTTCTTGAGTGAAAATTAGGGTGGGATGAAACTTGCGCAACATCTCAATGCATGCGAACTTGCGTATTTCCCAGGAATTCGGACTGCTTTCTGGTTCTGTGGAGTCTAAGTTCAACATGAGGGCAGAAATTGCCCCAAGGAATGCCATTACGCGCTTTGCAGTCACGTCTGCCCCTTGGATTTCCTAAAACTAAACTCAGTATTCTCTAATCAAACGTCTAACGCACGGATCCCGAATGATAACTTGTGTTAGCAGCACCCAGTGCTGTGAATACACACGCAATTCGCTAGCTTATCTGGAAGCACGTGCTCAGGTGAGTAGACTGAGCCTGTGCTGACCAGAGACGGATACACATCCTGGTACTATCTGTTCACTATCAGCGAGTTTATCAAGAAGCTCCGCTGACAGGTGAGCTTGCGGAAGGTACCCGTTCGGCCGCACACGCAGACCAGAGAGTGAGGAGGTTCACCAGAGAGGCAGCAACTGAAAGCTGGACAAACAGAGAATCGAAGCGAAGGCAGGGAGTCTGCACGCAAAAATAGTGAAACATGTTCGGGTGAAAGTACACTCTGGTACACGATTCAATGCAAATTATGCACTAATGATGTTTGTATTGACCACAACCATGAACAATAAAATGTACCACACATGAAATTAAATCTTATAAGATTGAATTGCATTAGATAAAACTAATAGTCCAAATAGATGCGCACGACCAGAATGTCTGAGAATGGAACAGTAATCCTCCGCTCCCGATTCTTCCGGCTCAACGGCCGTCCCTTTCCTCCATACAGCTCCCTGTTGAACCTCACATCAGCAACCCTCCATATTGTCACACGCTCCTCCTCGTCCACCTCCACTAACGAAAGAATCTCCTCAGACGTTTTCCCTCCACTAGCAGTAGTGCTCTTGTCCCCTGTATTGTCTGCTTCGCTAGGCAGCCGGTAGTGTACATACATTGGAAGCTCCTTGAACCGGATTAAATCGTCTGGAACCTTGACCACACGCTCGGCACCAGGAGAAGAGACCTGACAGGGGTGAGAGGGGTTGGGGGAAAGAGGGGGAGAGATTACGGCAAGAAGAAGGGTAACACAGGGGAGAAAGAAGGGGAATTAAGAACACGAGCAAGCTTCGAATGGTCTAACAATCGTCTGGGACACGTTTGACCCGAAGGAACGTGAGAGAGATGCTACTGGGAGAGGGGCAAGCAAAGCAAGAAAGGGGTTAGGCTGGAAAAAACAATCGAAGGAAATTCTGAGGGGAAAAAAAAAAAGGTGAATTCAATCATCATTCCACAACAGTACCCTGTCTGATTACAACAGGATTCATTCCCGTAAAAGAGATTGCATCCAAATGAGAATTTCGCAGAGGAAGAAGTGTGACAAAAAAAAAAAAAAAAAAAAAAAAAAAACAAACAAACAAACAAATCGAACCCGCAGAAATGAGCAACGAAACTAGTTGTGTTGAGGCCCTTTGAACCATCCGATCAGGGCCCCCAACCACGCTGAACCTACTGTCTGGTCTGGTGGATCAGCCAGCTGACAGCTGCAGACTCACCTACCTATCTGAACGACCTGAGGCAGCTCGCCCCTCTCCAAAGCGTCAAGAGCAACCCTCCCCCCTCCCTCCTCCCCCCTCCCCCCTCACCCCACCTTCCGCCTCACCTCGATCTGAATATCCTCAGCCAGCTCGCCCCTCTCCCCAGTAGCAACGACCAGAGCGCTGAATCTGTACAATCAGCGCCCTGTAACTGTTCACAAACTATAAGCAATCCCACCCCACTCCGCTCCACTCCCCCTCACCCCACCTTCCGCCTCATCTCGATCTGAATGTCCTGAGGCAGCTCGGCCCGCTCCCCTGCTGCGACCAGAACGTCAAGAGCAAAACCCCCTCCCTCCCCCATCACCCCCACCTTCCGCCTCACCTCGATCTGAATGTTCTCAGGCAATTCGCCCCTCTCCCCCGCAGCAATGACCAGTGCGTTTGAAGTTGTACAATCAGGCCCCTGTACTCGGTGCCTAGCTATAAGCTATCCCACTCCACCCCACTCCACCACACTCCACCCCCACCCTCTTACTTTCCGCCTCACCTCTATCTGAATGTCCTGAGGCAGCTCGCCCCTCTCCCCTGCAGCAATGACCAGCGCGTTACAGCGCAGGGCCCTATACTCGTTCTCTAGCAATAAGCTATCACATCCCACCCCACCCCATCCCACCCCACTCCACTCCCCCCGTTTCCTCTCCTCCTCACCTCAATCTGAATGTCCTGGGGCAGCTCGCCCCTCTCCCCTGCAGCAATGACCAGAGCGTTGAAGTCAAGGAGGAACGAGTCTATGTCCTCCACCATTGGGGAGCCGTAGCTGCGTTGAGAGGGGAGGGGGGATGGGGGAGGGGGGAGGGGGGGAGGGGGGATGGGTAATTGGTGAGTGTGGAGCAGCAATGATCAGCGCGTTGAAATCGAGGAGGAACGAGTCTATATCCTCCACCATGGGGGAGACGTAGCTGCGTTGAGGGGGGAGGGGAGAATGGGGGATGGGTACATGCAGTGTGCAATAAAGATTGGGGGAGACGGGGAATAACACGGACAACAGGGCAGCTCGCCCCTCTCCCCAGCTGTGATGACCAGAGCGTTGAAATCAAGGAGGAACGAGTCTATGTCCTCCACCCTGGGGGATCCGTAGCTGCATGCATAAGGGACGGGGTATGGGGGATGGGGAATGGGGTATGGGGGATGGGGAATGCGGTATGGGGTATGGGAAATGGGGTATGGGGTATGGGGGGATGGCGGATGGGTGTGTGTGGCGCAGCAATAGAGAGGAGGTGGTTGAAGTCGAGGAGGAACCAGTCTATATCCTCCGCCCTGGGGGAGCCGTAGCTGCACAAGCGGGAGCGACAGGACCTCCTTCTTTCCACCTGCAGCAATGAACACCGTTGAATCAAGGAGGAACGAGTCTATGTCCTCCACCATGGGGGAGCCGTAGCTGCACAAGAGGGAGGCAGGGGAAAAGCACATGCGACGAGCATTCGAGATGGTTGAAGCTGGCGTACACTTGGGCAGCTCCCCTCTCTCCCCCGCAGCAATGACCAGAGCGTTAAAGTCAAGGAGGAACGAGTCTATGTCCTCCACCCTGGGGGAGCCGTAGCTGCATGCATAAGGGGTGGGGGGTGGGGAATGGGGTATGGGGGGATGGGGGATGGGCGTGTGTGGCGCAGCAATAGAGAGGACCTCGTTGAAATCAAGGAGGAACGAGTCTATGTCCTCCACCCTGGGGGAGCCGAAGCTGCAATAGAGATGGGGACAAGGAGGAAGGGGGGGGGGAGCGGGGGGATATATGATGGAGGTAGAGGTAAGGACAAGGGCTTAGGGATAACTGTTGGGGCTTATGGACGTCTCACAAGGACAAGGGCTTCGGGATAAGTCGACTGAAAAATCGCCCCAAAGCAGGATAATGGCTTAAGGGTACAATCTTCCTTTCCCCCTCCTCCTCCCCCTCTCTCACCCCCCCCCCCCCCCCATTCCCCTCCTCCCTATTCCCCTCCACGCCATTCCACTCCCCCCAATCCCCCTACTTTTATTCCCCCCCCTTCAATTCAACTACTTTCAGTTTCCCCCCCCCAACTCCCTGTCACTCACACGTCACTGAGTTTGTCCAGTCGCATGCGAATACAGTTCTTCTCCGGGCACACCTTGAATCTGTACAGCTCAAACTCCCCCAAACACTCACCTCCCCTGTTTTCACCATCTAGCCCCTCCCCCGAAAGAGCCCGCCCACTCACACATCTGTCAGCTTGTCCAGTCGCACGCGGATCCAGTTCCTCTCAGGGTAAACCTTGAAGCCATACAGCTCAAACTCCCCGCCGTACTTGCTCCTCCCTAGCAACTCCTACCCCCAGCCCACAGGCTTCCTTTCCCTTCGCTTTCTTTCAACCAACCCCATATGTCCCCATCCGGGCATCCCTGTCATGTCACTGAGTTTGTCCAGTCGCACGCGGTGACTTTTGAGTCGACTCAAAAGTCCCCCTCCACTCCCGTTGCTTGGTCCCCATCCCTGTCACTCACACGTCACTGGGTTTGTCCAGTCGCACGCGGATTCAGTTCCTCTCAGGGTACACCTTAAAGCCATACAGCTCAAACTCCCCCCCATGCTTGCTCCTCCCTAGCAACTCCTACCCCCAGCCCACAGGCTTCCCTTCCCTTCGCTTCACTTTCTTTCAACCACCCCCGTTTGTCCCCATCCCTGTCACTCACACGTCACTGAGTTTGTCAAGTCGCACGCGAATCCAGTTCCTCTCGGGGTAAACCTTGAATCCGTACAGCTCAAACTCCCCACCGTACTTGCTCCCTGCCAGCACCGCCTGTGCCAACTCCAGCGCTGTCTGCCCCCACGCTGCCCCGTTCAAGACAAACCCTCCGCCATCCAGCCCGTCTCCAGGCTGGAAGGGGAGGAAAGGGAACCAAGGGAGGGAGGGGAACGAGAAGAAGCAACGGGTTTAACGCTCAAACTCCCCTCCATATTTGCTCCCTGCTACCACCGCGTCTGCCAACTCCAGCGCTGTCTGCCCCCACGCTGCCCCGTTCAAGACGAACCCACCTCCATCCAACCCATCTCCAGGCTGGAAGGGAAAAAAACCACCAAAGTGAGGGAGGAGAACAGGCAGGAAAAAGAAACGGCTTTGTCTTGTTGAACAGCTCATAGCCGATATTTCCCATATGCAGCTCAAACCCCCCGCCGTACTTGCTCCCTGCTAGCACCTCCTGTGCCAACTCCAGAGCTGTCTGCCCTGCCCCCACGCTACCCCGTTCAGGACGAAGCCTCCGCCGTCCAACCTGTCTCAGGGCTGGGAAGTGAGGAAAGGGAACGACGGGAGGGAGGGGAACGAGAAGAAGCATTAGGTTAACCTCCCCTCCGTACTTGCTCCCCCCTAGAACCTCCTGTGCTAACTCCAAGGCGGTCTGTCCCCGCGCTGCCCCGTTCAGGACGAAGCCTCCACCGTCCAATCCGTCTCCATCTGGTTGAGGTGGAAAAGCAAGGGAGGGACGGAAAAATGGGAGTTTGTTTTGTTCCCTTACAGTGCTCCCTCCTTCCCACCACCTCCTGTGCATTTTGAAACCTTGAAACCTTAAACGTTGAACCTGAAACCCTGGATGAACCCTGCTGACGAGTGGGGCGGGGACCTTTTTTTGGACCTAACCCGCCAGCTTAGACAACCCTTCCCAGTGTCGCGTTATTAACACTTAGCTGGCAACTAAGTGTGAATTCCACAGCAGCCAAGGTGAGGTGTACTATAGTTTACTGCTTTTTGCATTTTACTTTGTTTGCTCTTTTTGGAATGTTACTGATGTACTATACAGAGTCGAGCTACTGAGGAGTTCGAGGGGGTTGGTGAGGAGGATGAGGGCGAATTCGATTCTAGCCAGCCTGGGAATTCAATTCGACATTCACAGGCTGGAAGGCGGTGCATGCCTAGTGGGCCCAGTGGGACCCAGCTAGCACCTTGAAGCCTACGCGATCAGCTCGGCTGACTCGCGCTTAGGAGTAGAGGTAGCTTGCGGGACAAGGCACCTAGGCAGGAGAGGATGTAGTCGGAAGTAGCGCTCGGACTCATTGCTTTTTGCTTGTATGTTTCTCATTTACTGCAATTGTGATTTCCTAATCCACGGGGAACTAGCAGTAGAGAGGAGCTGAAGCAAATCGGCGGAGCCCTTGCGAGGGAGTTAAGTCTTGTTTCTGGGAAGCGTGAGATACGAGGAGGGGATCAGAACAGAGTGATTACATACGTCAGGAGGAAGAAGGGATGAGCCGGTCACCTGGATGAGAGGCGGAGGGAGAGGGAGGAGGAAGTCAGGCAGGGATTCAAGGGAGAGTGAGAAGGAAGGGACAGCAGAGGGGGATTCACGACACCAGCCTAAACCCAACTTCTCAAAGTTTTTCCCAACTCACAACAACTCTTGTGCACCAACCACCACAGTTCTGCAACGCTCAGCAGCACTCTGCACTGCTTACCACCACGTCGGCCGCATCTTCCTCCTCAAACTCCCACTCGTCCTCCTCGTCCTCCCCCTCCTCCTCCCTCTCCCCAACCTCGTCACCCACGGCTTCCTCTGCTGCGTGTGAGGGAATGGAATGGAGAGCCGCCAGGTGGAATGGAAGGCGGCGTGGGGAGAGGAGAGCAAGTGTGTGGGAGACAGGCAGGCACGGGGAGGGATGGAGGAATTAAGGAAGGTGAGAAGGAACACAGAGAGGTGGGAGGGACATCAGCGTCGATGAGATGGCCTTATTTGTTCCATACAAAGGAAGACAAGTGGGGGACGGATGAAGAGAAAGAAACAGGCACGGGGAGGGATGGAGGAATTATGGAAAGGAAGGTGAGAAGGAACACAGAGAGGTGCAAGGGAGGGAGGTCAGCTTTGATGGGATGGCCTTCTTTGTTCCATACAAGGGACGACAAGTGGGGGACGGATGAAGAGAAAGAAACAAGCACGGGGAGGGATGGAGGAATTAAGGAAGGTGAGAAGGAACACAGAGAGGTGGGAGGGACATCAGCGTCGATGGGATGGCCTTATTTGTTCCATACAAGGGACGGATGAAGAGAAACACAGAAGTCACCTTGATTCGACTCCACCTGCTGCAGCACCACCAAGGTGCCTTCGTCTCAACGCCTTCTGCCAGCCAAGAGAAAAGGCACTTCTGCCCCTGCCCTCCCAACATAGCGACCAGACCAGCCAAGACACCCCAAGACGAGTCGACTCATAACCCACCTTGACTCGATTCCACCTGCTGCAGCACCACCATCTCAACTCAACTCCCTCTGCCACCGGCCCGGCTGCCCCCGTTTCCCTTCCCCAACCTACTGACCAGCCACGATAGGCCAAGACGGCTGTCCGTCCTCCTCTCGTTATAAAAGAGATGTTTTGAGACGTCTCAAAACATCTCTTTTATCAGATATAAATCTATTGGATTCGAAACGCAGCAAGCCTGCTAAGAGTAACGATCTGAGTCTACTAATATGAAAATTGAGACGTCTCAAAACATCTCAAAACATCTCTTATATCACCTGACCAGCCAAGATAGGCCAAGACGGCTGTCCGTCCTCCTCTCTCAACATAACGACCGGCTAAGACAACCCAAGATACAGTCGACTCATAACTCACCTTGACTTGATTCCATCCACCCACTGCAGCACCACCGTCTCGGCGCCTTCTGCCATCGGCCCTTCTGCCCCTCCCCTCTCAACATACCGACCAGCCAACACACCCCAAGATGAGTCGCCTCATAACCCACCTTGATTCGACTCCACCCGCTGCAGCACAAGCGTCTCCACTCCCTCTGCCACCGAGCCCTCTGCCCCTTCCTCCCCTCCCAACGTACTCACCGTTTAAGATGCTCAAGATGAGTCGTGAGTCAGAACTCGACAAACGATCCTGATTCCTGACTCGTAACTCACCTTGATTCGACTCCACCACTCGCTGAAGCACGACCGTCTCAACGCCCTCTGCCACCGGCCCCTCTGCCTCCACCCACGTGCCGTCATCCCCCTTATAGAGAACCACCGTTTCGGCATAACCCGTTTCATCCCCCTTATGAAGCACCACCGTTTCGAGATCAGTTTCTCCTGAAGGCAATTCTTCCTCCTCGGTTTCCTTTCCTGGGGCAATCTCGATGGAACCACTTTGTTTCGTTTCAACAAACCCCTTTGCCGTCTCACTTCCCTCCTCGTTCTCCGCAGCATACCCTACCACCTCGCCTTTCTTCCCCTCCTCCTTCCTCTTATCCCGCTTCTCTTTTTTTCCCTTCTTCTCCTTCTTCTCTTTCTCTTTCTTCTCTTTCTTTTCCTTCTTCTCCTTTTTCTCCTTCTTCCCCTTGCTCCCTCCATCCAATTCGCCAGCTGTCAGATCCACTACATTCTCGTTATCGTCACTCTCGCTATTTTCACCGCCGTCTCCCGAAACTGCCAGCATTCGCAGAGTTTGCTGACGCGGCAGCGACGGTCCGAAACCCCTTGCGTGATAAAAACGAGCATATTTCCCAAGTGCGGAGCATTGGATGCCTGCTGGACGCGTGACTGTAACGGAAGGTGGCAGAGGAGTCACTCGGATAAATGCGACTGCCGAAGGTGACAATAGCAAATGCGCAGACGCCATTGTAGCAGCTCTTCGGCTTGCAGCAGCTGGAATACTCAGAGGACTGAATCTAAAAATGGCCGCGGTTTTCCTGAAACTACTAGCCTCGGGATTGCCTGTAACCGCGGGTTTGAGTGGAGCCGCGACAGCAAAGCAGGTCAGCGTCCGAGGCGCCTCGAAAGTGGCCGTGGCAGCAAAAGAGGTCAGGACCTTGGTTTGGATTCGTTTTGGGAGAGAGAAACAGCTGGGGATAGCAGAACGGTTCCAGAGACGGTCGAAAACGCGCGACGACGCAGCGGGAAACGCGGCGGATAACGCGGCTCTGGAAGTCATGCACTGCGAGTTGGCGCGTCGCCGTGTTACGCGACTGGGCTGACTGAAAACGGAAACGGGAGATTTGCTTGTAAGCTGGTCCAAGTGCGATTTGCTGGGTTGTAGGAGAAAGGTGGGAAAAAATCAGTGCCCCGCAGAGTCTTAGTAATGCGAAATTGATTTTGTATGTTCAGTAGTGTAGTTACGTGTAGTCTCCCTAAGAGAGTTTCCGAGTTGAGCTGTAACGCATAATATTTTGCGAAAGGATCTGTAGCGAAGTCCAGGTGCAATCGTCGCTCGAAAATAAATTTGGCGAGTGGCTTTTGGACTGGCTGCAGTACAAGCCGTGCGCCTAGGTAACAAAGTAACCCTGAGTCTGGCTGACTACTACGAGGACATGTTGGGTACGCATCGCAGACGAGACGAAGTACGTCGTACCACCCCGATGGTACTACATCGCGGATAAACCGCTGATCTTCGCAGAGCGTCCTCCGAGAATCACGCAACTCTCGAGCGGTTATTAGAGTAGCTTGAAAGTTCCTAGTAGAGGACACGGTAAGTTAGCTTCGTCCGATTCTTCCTGCGACTTTTTTACAAGACCAGGCATTGGCGATGACGTGTACAAACCGTCGCGGAATCTGCCTTTGTTCATTGCCGAGATTAGCTTGACGCTTGTACGCGTGAACCGTGCATGAGTAGCTAAGTTCCGTCCAATGCTACATTCGTTAACGCGTAAGCTGCTATAACGCGTACGACAACCGGCGTCAATAGCGAATGGCTAATTCCCTCCTACCGCTTGCCGTAGCGGCGACAGGCGCGCTGCTAGTCTCCGCTTCCACCGTCACCGTAATGCTTCCGCTGCTCCCTGCCACGTGGACCAATCGCCTGCTTCCAAGTGTCTCTCTTGAAGACTTGTGAGTTGCGAGCTCAGCTTACCATGCCTTGCTGCTTCCCCCCGCATGTCTCTCCCCTATTTTCCCTCTCCGCTTTCCTGCCGCGCTCGCTGCAGCCTGGTGCGCATGACAACTTGCCTCTCCCATCCCGCATCCCCCATTCCCCCATCTCTCCGCCTTGCCCGCTTCCTCCTCTCCTCGCCACAGCCTTTATTACTGCAGCCTCGTAACCGTGATAGTTGCCTTGCCTTTTTACATCCTCCATCCCCTATTTCCTCTTGCCTCCCCCCGGCTCCCCCGCTCCCCTCCCGACTCCCCACTTTCCACCCCTTGCCGCAGCCTCTACTACTGCAATTCGTGCCCATGTTAACTTCCCTTGCCCCTCTACATCCACTTTTTCCCCTTGCCCTCCTCCCAGATCCCCCGGCTCCCCGCTCCCCTCACTACCCCGCAAGCCTCCTTGCAGCCTCTAATACTGCAACCTCATGCCCATGACAGCTGTCCTGCTTCTCCCCATCCACCTGCACCCAATCCCCTCTCCCCCCCTTCTTCCCCCCTTTCTTCCCTGCCTTCTTCCCCCCCTTAACCCCCCCACTCCCCTCCCCACCGCCACTGCAGCCTCTACTACCGCAGCCTCGTGTCCATGACTGTTTTCTTGCTTCGCCTTACGGTATTTCCTTTTCCCCCATGTCTCCCTTACCACATGCACCCAATCCCCCCTCCCCCCTCCCCCCCCCCCCCCGTTCCCGCCTATTACCCCCCACCCTCCGCCTGCCTCTTCTGCAGCCTCTACTACTGCAGCCTCGTTCCCATGACAGCTGTCGTCCTCGTATTGGCTGTCTACGGCCACTGGCTGTGCATCAAGCTGTACAGGCACGCGTGAATTGTGCTCCAATCAGCTGTACAGCACAGTACATCTTATACCGGTACAAGTTTAAGAATAACAGAACGTCTTTTAAGGAGTAGCCACTGTAGCCTGTAGGTAAGAAAGAAACTGGCTCATTCTCCATAACGATTTGCTCCATATGGTCTGTTCTTGTTGGTGTAGATGCAACCATTTGCTGCTACTATCCAATGGCTGGACCAATGATAGCTGACTGGCTATGAGGCAGGAGCTGGCTGATTCATCCTCCATAACAAATTGTTCCATGGTCACGTTCTCGTTGGTGTAAATGTAACAATCTGCTACTTTCCAATACCGTTCGTACCTTGAAGAACAATGATGGCTTGCTGGCTTCGAAGATGCTGCCTTATCCCCCATAACAGTTTGTTCCATGGTCATGTTTTCGTTTGTGTTGTAGCAGCTGCAACAATGATGGCTTGCTGGCTACGAAGAAGCTGGCTCATCCTCCGTGGTGATTTGCTCCATGGTGATTTGCTCCATGGTTACTTTCTCGTTGGTGTAGATGCAACAGTCTGCTGCTTTCCAATACCGTTGGTACCTACCAGAACAATTACGGTATGACTGGCTGGCTACGAGGAAGCTGGCTCATCCTCCGTGGTAATTTGCTCCATGGTTACATTCTCATTGGTGTAGATGCAACAGTCTGCTGCGATGCGCATCGCCTTTTTCACTGTAGACAAGACGAAGAAAATGGCCAAACAGAGAAACCCATGGAGGGGAGGAATTGTAAGGAGAAAGCTAGAGAGCAGGAAATTGACACGAGAGTAGTGCAGCAGAGGTGAGTTTTGAGCCGTCTCAAAAGTCACCTAGAGAGCAGGAAGTTGACACGAGACTAGCGCAGAGAACCTGGCCATGCCAATGACATGCCACCATGACCTCTCACATGTTCAAGTGTTCCCAACAGACATGCCATGCCATACCCACAACATCCCCATCCCCATCCTCATACCATGCCCTCAACTCAGAGATGTCTGCCGATGCCCATTGCAACCCCTCCCCTCCCATCCCATTCCCATCATCTCCCATCATATCACATGCCATTCCCCAACCACGCACCTATGGCTTCAGCACTCGTGCTGCCATGCCATGTTGTATGTGCAGGGAGTTTTTGAGAATTCTCAAAAACTCCCTGCAATTCCAAAACAAACTGTACCATGGCCCACACCACACCACGCACCTACGGCTTAACCACTCAGGTCAGGGATGTCTGCTAATGCAGTCCCATCCACCCCATGCCACTTCTACAAGCCATCCTAACAAGCCATCCCATGCCATCCCATCCCAACCCCATGCCACGCACAGTCAGGTCAGGGACGTCTGCCAATGCAATCCCATCCCCTTGCACCCCTCCCATCTCATCACACCTCATCCCATCACAACTCATCACGCCTCGCTCCTATGGCTTCAGCCGTCAAGTCAGAAATGTCTGCCAATGCTTTTGCTGTCGCCAACACATAGGGACCTCCACTCACTCCGCCATGCCCACTGATCATTCCATGCCACCTTACATGTGCCATGCCAATCCCATTCCCATGCCATCCCCACACCACGCACCTATAGCTTCAGCCGTCAAGTCAGAGATGTCGGCCAATGCCTAAGGACTTACACCCTTGCCCGTTGGCCAAGCCATCACCACCCCATTCCACACCATCCCATTCCACCATACCCCACCACTCCACGCACCTATGGCTTCAGCCGTCAAGTCAGGGATGTCGGCCAATGCCCGTGCTGCTGCCAACGCATAGGGCCCTCCAGAACCGATGCCTGGGGGAAAGGGGGAAGAGAGGGGGGAGAGGGGGAGGGAAGGAAGCAGGGGAGGGGGCGGGAGGTGGGAAACGTGTCAAAGAAGGAAGACCTTTTCAGAAGCTCTTCAGATGCCTCCCTATGCCCTCCGGGGTGACCCCCTCCGGGGTGACCCCCCCCGGGGTGACCCCCTCCAGGGCTCTTCAGATGTCCCAACTCTTAGTGCCCTCCGGTCCGGGGCGACCCTAAATCGTAGACTAAAAAACCTTCAACCTTCTTAGTGCACTCCGGAACCAACCTTACCAACCTTCAAACCAATCGCCAGGTGCCTCGCGGACGACTTTTGAGAAGTCTCCAAACCAACCTTCAATCACAGATGCAGAGGCAGAAGAGCTCGTTTCTTGTGGACGAGCAACACGAAGCTGGGGAAGAACAGGGGTTCTTCAAACATGTCACATCCTTGTAGCCACGAGTAGATAGGTTATTTTTTAGACGTCTCAAAAATAACCTATCTACATGAAGCTGGGGGAAGAGCAGGGGTTGTTCAAACATGTCACATCCTTGAAGCTCTTCACATACATCATATCACATGCCATCCCCCAACCCCCATCATGTCACAAGAAGGGTTCTTCAAACATGTCACATCCTTGAAGCTCTTCTGCCTGTGCCCCATCCTGTGGCTCCAAACATGTCACACATGCCGGTCAAACTCACCGATAATCCCATCATGTGGCTCCAACACGTCACCATTGCCCGTTATTGTGAGAGACACCTTGGCATCTGCCTGCCTGCCGATCCACCTACATAATGCCCCATCATTCACTCACCGATAATCCCATCATGTGGCTCCAACACATCACCATTGCCGGTGATGGTGAGAGAGAGAGACACACACCTTGGCGTCTAAAGCAACACCTTGGCGCGTGTCTCCCATCGTCCCACTTTAGCGCTGCTACGTCACACATGCCGGTCAAACTCACCGATAATCCCATCATGTGGCTCCAACACATCACCATTGCCGGTGATGGTGAGCGACACCTTGGCATCTGCCACTACTAGCATGGCCTGTAGAGGGCGAGAGGGCGAGATAGGGGAAAACAGAGGGATGGAGAGGAAGAGAGGTGAAATCGGGTACATGCTTGGGTGCTGTTTATTGTGAGAGACACCTTGGTATCTGCCCCGCCCCGCCACTACTAGCATGGCCTGTGCGCAGGAGAGGCGAGGGAGGGAGAGCGATGAAGAGGAGGAGAATGAGAAAACCTTCTGCCACTACTATCAGGTGGATGAGTGCCAGCTATATTCGTGTGACTTTTGAGAATTCTCAAAGTTGACTTTTGAGAATTTCAAAAGTCACACGAATATACCGTCTGCCACTGCTATCAGGTGGATGAGTGCCGGATAGTGAGAGCGACACCCACAACTAGCATGGCCGGCAGAGGGCGAGCGGACGAGAGAGGGAGAGGAAGAGGAGAAGGGGGGGAGGTAAAACGATGTGTGGTACATGCGTGGGTGGCTGCGATGGTGAGCCACACCTTGGCGTCTGCCACTACTAGCATGGCCTGCAGAGGGCGAGCGGACGAGAGAGGGAGAGGGAGAGAGGGGGTGAGGGAGAGAGGGAGAGGGGTAGAGGGAGAAAGGGAGAGAGGGAGAGAGGAAGAGAGAGGGAGAGAGGAAGAGGGAGAGAGGGAGATGGGAACGGAGAAATGATGTACGGTACGAGACATCTTGTTGTAAGACATCACATCACCATGCGCAAAAAGTGAAGTTCTGAGACGTCCCAAAACATCACCATGCCTTTGCCAGCAGCAGAATCGGCTGCTTTTGAGTGGAAGGGGAAGAAGGCTCAACAAACATCCCCACACCCCCAATCACTCCACTCCATCCCTCTACCCCCCCCTTCCCTCCATCCCCCTTCATCTCACATCCAGCTTCCTCAGGTGCTCGTCGGTTCGTCACGCCTTTGCCAGCAGCTAAATCAGCTCAATCAACACCCCCACACCACCACCCACCACACTGCATCCCTCTTCCCTCCCCCCCCCCCCCCCCCCTCACCACACCCCCTCATCTCACATCCAGCTTCCTCAGGTACTTGTCAGTGCGCCATGCCTTTGCTAGCTCTAGAAGCAGCCCAATCAACACCCCGGCACACCCACCAAACCCTACTCCATCCCTCTCTGCCCCCCCACCCCTTCATCTCACATCCAGCTTCCTCAGGTACCTTGTCAGTGCGCCATGCCTTTGCTAGCTCTACTGCTGCTCGTACGTTATAACTTGACCCAGCCACAATCACACCCCACCCACCCCACGCACCACCTCTTCTCCCCTCTCCCCCCTACCACCCCTCCCCCCTCCCCTCTCCCTCCATCCCCCTCCATCCCACATCCAGCTTCCTCAATAACTTGTCGGTTCGCCATGCCTTTGCCAGCTCAATCTCACCCACCCCACCCACACACCCCACCCCTCCCCTTCCCCCATCCCCTTTGAACTCACATCCAGCTTCCTCAGGTACTTGTCCGTTCGCCATGCCTTTGCTGACTCTAGAGTAGGCTCAATCAATACTCAGGCAACCCCATCCACCCCTATCCACCGCACTCCCAGCCCTCCCATCTCCCCCCCACCCCCCCCAATCTCACATCCAGCTTCCTCAGGTACTTGTCCGTTCGCCATGCCTTTGCTAGCTCTACTGCCGCTCGCGTCAGCTGGTAGGGAGAGAGAGAGGGAAGAAGGGGGAAGGGGGCACGGGGAAAGGGGAGGGGGGAAGGGGAAGGAGAAAGGGAGCACGGGGAAGGGGGAAAAGGGCATGGGAAGGGAGGGAAGGGGAAGGGAGAGGCGAAACGGGAGCCAGAAAAATGGAAAGGGGGGAAGCAGCAGGAAGCAAAGTAAGCGAGGAAGGACAGCAGAGGTATGGAAAGGGGCGGGGCAACTTCGAGCGAGCCGAAGTCGATCACGCTGCTGTGAGTTGAAAGCCAGAGTGAGACGGGAATGCATCCAAGTGACTCTTGAGTCGACTCAAAAGCGACTTTGAACGAGCCGAAATCGATCACGCTGCTGTGAGTTGGAAGCCAGAATGAGGCGGGAATGCATCTAATCAACAACACTGAGGATGCTGCGTGTCATGGCATGGCTGGCATGGCATGGCATGGCATGGCATGGCATGGCTGGCATGGCATGGCTGGCATGGCTGGCATGGCAGGCATGGCATGGCATGGCATGGCATGGCATGGCATGGCATGGCATGGCATGGCATGGATGGCATGGCATGGCATGGCATGGCATGGCATGGCATGGCATGGCATGGATGGCATGGCATGGCATGGCATGGCATGGCATGGCATGGCATGGCATGGCATGGCATGGCATCGCATGGCATGGCAGGGCATCGCATTTGAATTCTCAGAACCAGCATTCATCTTATCGCATGCACCTGGCCTGAAGGTTGGGATGGCCGTGAGCATCGGTGTTGGTCGATAGGAGCCATGCATGGAACATGCACAGATCATTCAGGCAGGCAGGCAGGCAGGCAGGCAGGGAGTGCAAGTAGAGTGAGGGAGGTTGCATTGCAAGGTGGTGATAAGGGAGGGGAGGAAGGGAAGTAAAGGATGGGATGGGAAAGCAGGGACGGGGGTGTTGGGGCGATTGGGGGATTGGGGAAGAGAGGTTGACAGGTTGAACAATATGCGACAAATGCCACGAGTAATGACACGAGATGATTTTGTTGTAAGCACCTTAACATTGTTGGGGAGAGAAAAAGCAAAATTGCAGCAAACACCTGACTTGCAGGATTGAACGTGACTCGACCACCTGCAACTGGCAGGCTAGCAAGGCAGATATACCTGGATGGATATTCGTCAATTCGAGACTCAAAGCGGCTTACGAGGCGCCTCAAAACCGCGAGTCATTAGACGACTTTTGAGGCGCCTCAAAAGGCAGGCTAGCAAGGCAGATGTACCTGGATGGATATTCGTCAATCCGAGACTGCTTTTGAGTCGACTAAAAAATAGACTCATCACACGCAGGCAAGCAAGGCAGGTGTACCTGGATGGATATTCGTCAATCCGAGACTCAAAGCGAGGTGACTTTTGAGTCGATTCAAAAGTCGGAAGTTGCGTGTAAGTAGCAAGCAAGGCAGGTGTACCTGGATATTCGTCGATTCGAGATTCGAAGCGGTCGAAGAGAGTGAATGCATCCGCTGTGGTGCCTGAGGGGTGATGAGGGGTGGAGTGGGGTGGAGCGGCGGGAATGGGGAGGGGGGGGGGAGGGGAGGTTGCAACGGCACCCAAAGCAAGGAGGGTTGGTGAGAGAGATCGCGGCATATGCCTGACTTGCATTGCAAGGACCGCTTAAAAGGCTGCAATACTTACAAAGGAAATATTTTGAAGGCGCGGGTTTAGGTGCAAGGGAAATGATTACAACGGAAAAAAGCTTGCAATGGTCTGCTTGGAAAAGCTGATCCTGCAGCAGCAGCAGCTGGCTCACCTGCGAAGCCTGCAATGACTAATTTCTTCTCCCCCAGATAAAGCAAGGGAGGCGCCTGAAAAATTGGCAGAATCGCAAAGGAAATACTTGCAAGCGGAAACAGAGGGGCCTGCGGCAGCAAACAGCTGGCCCACTTTTGAGTCGACTCAAAAGTCCTGCAGCAGCAAACAGCTGGCTCACCTGCAAAGCCTGCAATGACTAATTTCTTCTCCCCCAGCCGTCGCACCTTGCGCACATTGGGCTTTAAGATTTGCGCTCCCATGGTCACCTGTGGGTGCACAAACATGGACACGAGCGCACAAACACATAAAGCATGCACCTTGAATTGAGATGCTTATGGTATCCTGTTGGGCTTTAAGATCTGGGCTCTCATGATAAAATCATGAGCGATAGATTCTGAGCAATACATTCTGTCGCTCACCCACGCAACCCAGCTACCACAACTCAACCCTACCCACTACGCACCTGCTCCTCTGCTTCTCACCTGCCCGTCTGCTTCTCACCTGCCCCTCTGCTTCTCACCTGCCCGTTACCTTCTCACCTGCCCGTCTGCTTCTCACCTGCCCGTTACCTTCTCACCTGACCGTCTGCTGCAATCACCACTGAATTCCCCTTCCGCACGCACAGCACCGTCGTGCCATGGATATCCACCGAGCTGTACCCCCTTGCACCGCTTGATCCAGATGCGCCAGTAAAAGCTGTAGGAGCCCCTTCAGTCTTCCCTTCTCCTCCTCTTCCTCCTCTGTTTAGAAATTGCAGCAGCGGCTGCTGATGGTGGTGCAATAGCGAGGATGGCGACGGTGATGACGAGCCTGTGGCTGTGGCTTGGAAGGAGGTTCGGGGGGTTTGGTGTGACGCATGAGGAGCGGGAGCTTGGGCGGGGCATGGTCGAGGTGAGGAGGGTGACGTGGATGGCCATGATGGTGACGTGTCGTTGCGAGGGATGCTTGCATCAGCGACCAGAGATGACGTGTGCAGAGCCAAGGAGGCAGTTGCTGGGACGGCTGAAGCACAGGAAAAGAGATCCAGAGAGAAAACTGAATACGAAAGACAGGTTACGTGAAAGAGGAACTGCGGAGAGCGGAACACGAGAGAAGGAGAGAGATGGACAAACTTCAAAAGCTGAGAACGAGGTGTGGAACTGAGCCCAACGTCAAACCGAGCCAGTAGCCGAGAAGCGAGTTTTCTAAGGATATCGGCGGGAGCGACGGAAGATGAGAGTGGATAGCAGCAGCGAAAGGCTGAGACAATCAGCAGTAGGAATGAGCCTTTTCCAGGCGTCTCAAGAGACGTTGGCAACAGAGAGCAATCGCTTGCGCGGAAGCGGGAGCACAGCGCGCGACTACGAGAAGTGCAACATCGTCAGAATCTGACCGACCTGCGAGGGATCGCGAAAAGATTCCGCTAAGCGCCTTGCGGGGTAGAGCAATCGCCGCCATGGCTGCCAAGCGACGTATGACGCGCCCCGTAGGATTCTGACAAGAGAGGAGCTGGAAAATGAGGAGGATGAGGAAGTTATTGTTCGCGTTATTGATGTTACCAAAATTTCCCGCTACAATGATGGTTATAACGAGTATCTTGGGCTAGAGTCCGAGTACGAAATTGGGTTCAATAAAACCCGAATAGCTTACACCAAAAGTAGGAAAATTGGAACTACCGCAGGTTGTATCCAAGCTTCACAACTTGTAGCTTTCAGCCATAATGGTTACAAATACCCCACACTTCGTTGTGCTATCACTTCATTACTCTGCCATTCAATTCAAAAATGGTAATGGTATCGTATGACTGACGATACAATTTGACAACCCTTAGCATGTACCATACATCATGACTAATCTAAATATACCGTACATGTTCAGTCCATTTTATATGTCAGCAGTACCATTCGGATCATCACTTGATGCTGCAGTAAGATACGCATGCCTAAGCAAAGCATTTACTCTTCGCCTAAGTGCTGCTTCGTCCTCTAGCAAGTCACCCACAACATGCCGAAACGCGCCGTCCACCGTATGAACTCTGCCCAATACACTGCCTCCATCTTCACCCTGTCGGTCTCCTAACGATCCATCACAGCCGTCGATTCGTGCCTGCACAGCTGCTGTACCATCAAGTACACCCTTTCTTTCATCCCAAAGGCTTGTACTTGTATTGAATCTGTTGTTATCGAGTGCAGCAGCTGAGCTGCTAGGCTTCAGTAAACGTGCCTGCATAGCCGAATTGTGAGAAATGGGAAACAAAATAAGCATATGGAGATCTGTAATTTCTAAAAATCCGAGAGTAACACACACACACGAAGGCAACATGAATTGAGAGGATCACACACACCCCGTGCAGTGCCAGCAAAGAGGCATTTGGAAGAGTTTTTTTTTACGACTGGTCATTCCTTGCAACACGCACCTCTGCTGCCAGCAGCTCAAGAAGACTGTTCGACGTAACCAGCAGCTCCATCTCCTCTTGCACTCCTGCTGTGAGCACTGTGAGTGCTTCTGTGATTATATAACACCACTGCTCTGCAACACATACCTCTGCTGCCAGCAGCTCAAGCCGTCTGTCCGACGTAACTAGCAGCTCCATCTCCTCTTGTACCCCTGATTGCATGCCTCCACCTGACCCCATTCCTCCACCACTCTCTGCTGCTGTCCGCGCTGTCTCCTCCCCTCCTGTTCCTAATCCTCCCTCTGATCCTCCGCCACCTCTATTGATGCCATCCCCACCTCCTCCCTTGCTCTCTCCCGTCCCTTCACCCCCTGAAAGCCGTTCCACAGCGGCGTCTTTCATGCGCTGCCGCAGCACCCGCACCTCGTGAAGGAACCGCTCTGCCTTGCCCTGCCACGCTGATACAGCACCACTGTGCGCCTCCTGTTGGGCCTGGAGGGGGCAGATAGGGCGTAAGAGGGAAGCACATACCACACAGTGACTTTCATGCACTTCCACAGCACCCACACTTCGTGAAGGAACCGCTCTGCCTTGCCCTGCCACGAGGATAACGCACCACTGTGCGCCTCCTGCTGGGCCTGTAGAGGGCCTAAAGAAAGAAGCGAAATTGCCTCCAAACTCGAAACAAATCGCCTCATCAGAAGCGTTTTACTTGTCTTGCTTCTGCACTCGCACCTCTCTGCAGTTCAAGTTCAGCCAAGCAACAAAGACAATACCTCCAGCCCAGCAGCCCTTGTGGCGCGTCAAAAGCTGCAAAAAAAAAGAGGGTGCTGCACTCGCTCCTTTCCCAGTTCAAGTTCAGCCAAGCAACAAAGACAATACCTCCAGCCCAGCAGTCCTTGTGGCACCTCACAAAACCACGAGTAGATAGATGACTTGTATAGCGCTTTAGAAGTAACCAGCTAACTAACCAATCACGTACCTCCAGCTCAGCAGCCCGCCCCTCTGCCGCCCGCCTCTTCCTCTCAGCCTCGGCAACGGCCTGCCGAAGCTGCTTCACCTCCCGAGCCAGCAGCTTTGCTTCGGCCCGAGCCTGAGCCTCTGCCGCCCGCACAGCTGCCAGCTCAGCAGCCTTGTCTTGTTGTGTCTTCTGGTGCTCCTCTGTTGCTGTCTGTAGCTGCTGCTGTAGCTCTGCCTTCTCTTTCTGGATGGGTGGAGTGCGGTACACAGGGGCGAAAACAAGCCAATTAAATTGAGAAAAAAAATCCGTTTAGTGATCCCTCTGTTGCTGCTGTAGTCGAGCTTTCTCTCACTGGTTGGACGGAGTCAAACACATAAGTTCTTGAGGCAGCGTGAACGAGAACTACTGTAACCACTCTGTCACTCCACCACTCTACAACACAACTTTAGTCGCACAATTCACTCGCCCCCCGTCATCCCATGCTCTCCCGTTCTCCCTCGCTTCACCCAGCGCAGCCCGATCCTCCTCTGCCTGCCACTGTGCTGCCAGCTGCCGCTCCCACTGCCACAAGCCCGTTCTTGCACTCTGTCTACAAGCATGACTCACCTCCAGCTGTGCCACGCTCTCCCTCGCTTCACCCAATGCCGCCCTGTCCTCCTCTGCCTGCCACTGTGCCGCCAGCTGTCGCTCCCGCTCCTCCCGCACCTCCCTCGCCACCTCTGCCCGCAGCTTCCTCCGCTCAGCGTCTAGTTCAGCCTCCAGCCCTCGCACCTGCAAGAGGAGGGTAAGAAAAAGTGGGAGGGGAGGGAAGAGGGGGTTAAATGCCTTAGTGGCTATTGCTCCGCTCCTCCCGCACCTCCCTCGCCACCTCCGCTCGCAGCTTCCTCCTCTCCGCGTCTAGTTCAGCCTCCAGCCCTCGCACCTGCAGGATAGGGGTAGCAATCAGCGGGATGGGGGAAAGGGGCGATCATGCCTTACTAACTATTGCTCCCGCACCTCCCTCACCACTTCCGCTTGCATCTTCCTCCTTTCCGTATCCAATCCTGGCTCCAAGCCTCACACCTGCAAGATGCCGGTTGGGATAAGCGGGAGGCAGTTGGAAAGTGCCATGTTAGTAACTCCACCTTCCTCCTCTCGCCTTCCACTCTCCTGCCTCTCGCCTTGCTCGCTAGAAACTCCTTCACAGCAGCCTCCTGAGCCACTCGCTCCATGAGCTCGCCCATGTCGGTCTAGGCTTCTCATGACAGATGCACACACAGTAACTACCCCCCTGACTCTTTACAGCACAGTTTCACGACACTTAGAACTCTAAACCCTCCCTCTCTCACCTTGCTCGCCAGAAACTCCTTCACAGCAGTCTCCTGAGCCACTCGCTCCATCAGCTCTCCCATGTCTGTCTGGGCAGCTACCAGGCGCCTCCGAAGCCCAGTCAGCATCTTTTTCACCGCTGCCCGTTTCTCCTCGGGCAGGCTCAAAGCCACCTGCCCGGAAACGCCTTGGACAAGCTCCGCCATGAGTTCGGCGTCGCCGGGGTGTATGGTGGTGTGTGGTGCGGTGGTGGGGTCTGCGGAAGTGTGTGGTGCGGTGGTGTCACTGGGATGTATGGTGGTGTGTGCGGTGGTGGTAGTATCAATAACAGTATGTGGCAGCACACTTGCATGCCCATCCATTCTACCATCCACACTCCCATTCGTTGCCATCCTCCCATCCCCCAACTCCTTCCCTCCACCAACCCGTTCACCCAACTCCTCCCCTCCAACAATCCCCCCTCCTTCACTCTCCCTCTCGCCCCCCACCAACACAGCTCCCACCTCTCGCCTGCCCATTCCCAAACCTCCATCTCCCAAACCTCCATCTCCCAAATGCCTCGCCCCTACTCTTGCTCCCTCTCCGTCCACTCCCCGTCCTGCTGGCGTCTGTGATTCATCTATAGCCCTCTCAACCTCTCCGCCCGCACCTGACACAAGTCCATCTCTGTTCCCCTGTAATCCACTAGCCACATGCTCACTGTTCGCTGCAGCGGTGTGCACCGGTAGGTGCATGCTCCCACCCCCATCCCCCACTCCTGCAACCTCTCTGCTTAACGAGGATGCCTCAAACGAGGCAAGAGGGTGTGAGGCAGCGACCGGGAGAGGGGAAAGCTTCTGAGATTTCTCAAAAGCAGGCGATTCAAGAGGCGCCTCAAAAGCAGGCGATTCAAGAGGCGCCTCAAACGAGGCGAGAGGGTGCGAGGAGGCGGGGTGAGGGGAGGGGGTGACAGCAGAGGAAGCGACAGAAGAGGCGTCTGAAAATTCACGTGTGAAAGCTACCATGCGGGAACCATCGTGGTACTCAAACCCGCTCCCTGCGTCGCTCCCTCCTCCGAAGTCACGCCCCATATTATCACTCCCAGCTGCTGCTGCCGCCGCCGCCGCCACTGCAGCTGTATTCGTTTTAGTCACACTGCTAGCTGCCGATCCGCTTCCAAAACCCCACAAACTTAAGCCTCCCACTCCCACTTTTCCTCCTTCTCCTCCTTCTTGTCCTCCTCCTCCTCCTCCTCCTCCTCCTCCTCCTCCTCCTCCTCCTCCTCCTCCTCCTCCTCCTCCTCCTCCTCCTCCTCCTCCTCCTCCTCCTCCTCCTCCTCCTGCTGGTGCTGCGCCTTTCCCTGCAGCATTCGCTACAGGTGCCCCCACGGCCCTCCTCCGCCTGCCAGATGCTTCCAGAACGTTCTCGTCCTCCTCTGCTCCCTCCTCCTCTCTCTCCCCCTCCTCCTCCGCCTCGTCTTCTGCCAAAGCAGCTGCAGGGGTGACAGGCAGAGGAAGAATAGGGGGGAGAAGACGGGGAGAACAGCAGGAGGGGAGGGAGAGGGGGGGTTGGGGGGGGGGTTGAAAGGGTGGCGCGGGTACAGATGCACCCACTGCCCTCTTCCGCCTGCCAGATGCTTCCAGAACGTTCTCGTCCTCCTCTGCTCCCCCCTCCCCTCTCTCCCCCTCCTCCCCCACCTCGTCCTCTGCCAAAGCAGCTGCAGGGGGGGCACAGGCAGAGGGGAAACAGGGGGAGAGGCGTGGGGAGCGGTTGAAAGGTGCAACAGATCCATGGGGGGGGGGGTGGAGGGTGGGCGGAGGGGTTGCCCAAGTTGGGGAGGGAAAGGTGGAAAAGGTGCATTGGGGGGGGGGGGGTGTGGGGAGGAAAGGGTGGAAAAGGTGCATGGAGGGGGGGTGGGGAGGAAAGGGTGGTTATTGAGCACTTCAAACATTGCCTCGAGATGGCTTTTGAGACGACCCAAAAGTCACCTCGTTGCCCAAGTTGGGGAGGGAAGGGTGGAAAAGGTGCATTGGGGGGGGGGTGGGGAGGAAAGGGTGGTTATTGAGCACTTCGAACATTGCCTCGTCTTCTGCCTTTTGAGGCGCCTCAAAACGGGGGTTGCACAAGGTGGGGAGGAAAGGGTGGTTATTGAGCACTTTGAACATTGCCTCGTCTTCTGCCAGCCACCGCAACTGCAGGGGTGAGAGGCAGAGGGAGAATAAAGGTAGTCTGGAAAAGGAGAGCAGATGGGGGAGTGGGGCGAGCACAGGAGACCTCCACGTCATCCAGCAGCTGCTGCACACCAGGCTTCTTCCACCATTTCTTCATGGGGTTTGTTTCGTTTTCCTAATACAACACGAGTTGATGGAAGTAAGGCCTCCGCAGCCCACCTGTCCTCTTTTGACAGCTCCTGCACAGGAGACCTCCACGTCATCCAGCAGCTGCTGCACACCAGGCTTCTTCCGCCATTTCTTCATGGGGTTTGTTTCGTTTTCCTAATACAACACGAGTTGATGGAAGTAAGGCCTCCGCAGCCCACCTGTCCTCTTTTGACAGCTCCTGCACAGGAGACCTGCGCGTCATCCAGCAGAGCAGCTGCTGCAGCCAGCCACGCATCTAAAGCACGGCGCCGCTGCTCCAGGCGGTGGCCTTGGAGACCCAGTCGCTCGCAACAATACTTCCTTTGCTCACCTGCTCTAGCAACCCTTTCAAGCTCTAGAAAAGCTGCCATGGGGCGAGAGCGCGACACCTCCACGTCATCTAATAGTTGCTGCAGCCACGCATCTAGAGCACGGCGCCGCTGCTCCAAGCGATAGTTATCCGTGGAAATTCGTTGCAGTGGCAGCTTGGGGGGAGGGGCGGGGAGGCGACGACGATCGAAGGAACGGAGAAGCTGGGAGGGTAGAAAGGGGGAGAGGAGAGAACGCAAAGGCGAGAGGAGAGGAAATGAGTGGGGTTGAGAGATGTGTCTGTGCTTCTCTAAGGGGCGCCTGTCGGTGGGTCATGTCGAAGACAACCATGTTTTGACTCGACTAAAAACAAGGGGGGGAGGAGAGAAAGCAAAAGCGAGAGGAGGGGAAATGAGTGGGGTTGAGACGTGGGTTGAGAGACGTGTCCGTGCTTCTCTAGGCGGTGCCTGTCGGTGGGTCATGTCAAAGACAATCATCCTCATGTCAAAGACAATCATCCTCATGTCAAAGACAATCATCCTCATGTCAAAGACAATCATCCTCATGTCAAAGAAAAATATCCTCATGTCAATCATCTTCACGTAAAAGACAGGTGTAATAATTACACACATCATCCCTGTTAAACAGTCTGTAGCATGAATGACATGCAGTTTACACGAAAATATCCCATGTTTCAAGACATTTATTCATTATCTATATATGTTTCAACACATATATGATATAATGTAGCTTACCATGCTGTAGAGATTGATGAAGTCGGAGAACCTCCTGGGAACACGAGTGACAGAGGTGATGCCTCGAGGAGACCGCACTCCCACACACACGTGAAAGAACTGGGAAGAGGGAGAGAAGTCGAAGTGAGGAAGACGGAAAGGCCTTTAAGTTGACTCAAACGAATCTCCTGGGAACACGAGTGACAGAGGTGATGTCTCGAGGTGACCGCACTCCCACACACACGTGGAAGAACTGGGAAGAGGGGAATACAGAGTGAAAGTATTCAGACACACGCAGGTGAGGAATACCGGAGTTCTCTTTCAGCCTGTGTGGAAGGAATGCAGTGAACGGTTCATCATGTCTAGCCTGTCCCAGACTGACTCGTTACGCATGCTTTTGAAAAAAAAAAAAAAAAAAAAAAAAAAAAAAAAACTTCATCTGGGCTGAGACACATTGGGAAAGGAAAGTACCTCAAAGGTTCCTCTGGTGGCTCCCTAACCTTTTTGTCCAGTACTCACCAAAACAGAAGCAGGATCAGACGCCTTGGGGAAGAAAACATGCAGATCAGAGACACATTCAAATCGCCACTGTTATCCAGTCTGTTGCCCCCTGTCCCTCCTGACTGACAACTCCTGACAACCCTCCTGACTGACAACTCCTGACAACCCTCCTGACTGACAACTCCTGACAACCCTCCTGACTGACAACTCCTGACAACCCTCCTGACTGACAACTCCTGACAACCCTCCTGACTGACAACTCCTGGCAACCCTCCTGACTGACAACTCCTGACAACCCTCCTGACGACTCCGTAGGACCCTTCCCACACTCACCACGACGGGAGCTGGTTCAAATGCTTTGGGAAGGAACACAGAGACCAGAGACGCACCCAGGGCGCCACTACTGCCCCTCTGCTCCTCCTTGCCGGGCCTGCCCCTCCCATACCCACTCCTTGACAGACGAATCTATATGACCTTTCTCACACTCACCACCTCTGGAGCCGGATCAGACGCCCTGGGGAAGAGCGTGGAGACCAAAGACGCGCCCAGATCGCCACTGCCGCTCGATCTGCTTCCCCCTCTACTCTTCCCTGTCCCTCCTGACAACTCGCTCAAGAAACCCCTGGGTCCCCGCTCACACTCACAACGACAGGAGCCGGATCAGACGCTTTGGGGAAGAGCGCGGAGACCAGAGACGCACCCAGATCGCCACTACCGCCCCCTGCCCCTGGACTCCTAAGCCTGGCCCCTCCAGAAGCTGTTGCAGCAGCCGCAGCACCACCAGCAACACCAGACGAATTAGCAGCGGCAGCACTAGCAGCAGCAGCAGAGGAGGTGGGAGGATAGGCGGGCGTCCAGGTGGGAATGAGGGTGCAGAAGGCCCAGCAGCCGTCAGGCACGTGCGGCCATGCTGTGGTGCGCCGACCCGCCTGGTGGAAGGGGGAATGAGAGGAGAGATAAGGGGTGGGAAGGAGGCAGCGGGTGTAACGAGGGGGACAATAGGCCCAGCAGCCGTCAAGCACGTGCGGCCATGCTGTGGTGCGACGACCCGCCTGGTTTGAGTGGGGGAAAGGAAGGGAAACGGCATTTGAGGAGCCTCGGACTGAGGCGAACGGACGAGAAATGAGGGGATGGAAGGAAGAGACTACAGGTATCCTGAGATGTTTCAGCAGTCGGCAGGCACGAGCAGCCATGCTGTGTTCGTGCGAGGACAAGGCGATGACAGACAAGCAGGGACGCGGAAAACAGGAGAACGAGTGCAGGTAGGGAAGTGGCTCTACTTCTCGAATGTCTCAAAAGTCGTCTGGATACACGCGAAAAGTGGGAAGAGAGGCGAGCGAGTCTGGGAAGGGAATGCTCATTCTAGTGTTTTTTAGAAGTCAAAAAAATCTCAAGCAGGGAAAGAGATTGCCAGAATAAGGCGGAGAAATGAAGTGTTGAATTGCGGAAAGAAAACGATCCAAGCTCTGGGAGGGATCCATGGCGAAGGACACGCGCTGAGGGGACTAGCGAACATGAATCCACATGGAAGTAACGAGAATGAGCTACCATGGATTCACTAGAAGAGTTGTTAGAGGGAGAAACGGGCTGGTTTTTTAGAATTTTCAAAAACCAGCTACCATGGATTCACTAGAAGAGTCGTAGAGGGAGTATCGGGCTGGTTTTTTAGAATTCTCAAAAACCAGCTACCATGGATTCACCAGGAGAGTCGTAGTGGGAGAAACGGACCCAGTGGACGGGTGGCGGGGAGGAGTCCACTCCCCGCGGTAAGGGAGAAGTGCCATCGTTGCGAAAGACACGCGCTGAGGGAATTAGCGAACATAAACACCATACGAAGAGTCGTAGCAGGAACGCACCCAGTGGGCCGGCGGCGGGGAGGAGTCCATGCCAAGCGGTAAAGGCGACGTGCCATCATGGCGAAAGACACGTGGATTCGACACCGCTTCTCCGCCACGTAGCTGTTGCTGCTGATGATGTTGATTATTCTGGCGTGGATCGCTGTGCTCCTTCCATCCTGTGCCTTCTTGGCCTGAATGCCGTCCTAACATGGTTCCGACACAGTACACGGAGCTCGGTAATTTATTCCAAATTCTACACGGTTCCTTGGTTTGTCGTTCACAAAAAGAGTTCGCGACGCGTTAGACAATACGCCGGTCGCCTCTGTTCAGCTGGTCGCGGAATCGAGATGGAACTGGCATCTAATCGGACCGCTGCATCAGTGCAAACAACAATGTTTAGACCATGGTGGTGAAAAATGGCCGAAGCAGAGTGGAAAAGTTCCTGGAGCCTTGGGATTCCCAAATCGGAGGTGTGACCTTGTTTTCCTATCCTGCAAAGATTTTTTTATAATCAGCATTTTGACACTACAATTTAGCTGCAAAAAGTGTACCCATTTAACAAGTTGAGCCTTCTGCTTATATGAAGGAAAGACAACTTAGAGGGCTGGGCTGACCTCTGCTGTGGGGACCAACTAGCCACCAACCAGCTGCAACTTCAAGCCAACTCCAAGGCAACACTGTTCTGTCGGTGATCAAACTGCTCTTGTTTTGCATATCTTAAGTTTCTCGCAGCGTTTCAGCAAATTTGAATCCGCTTCCTGCATTTTCTTCTGCATTTTCCCGCTGTTCTGAGGCTCGTCATCGAACTTTCCTCAGATCTCGGGCCACTACGAGTTTTTTTTTTTGTCAAGCAATGGCCGACAGGCTTCCTGGAGTGATCGCTCTGTTCGATGTGGATGGCACTCTCACGCCGCCACGAAAGGTGCCTCGTTCTGTCACCCTATCCGTCTGGTCAAGCATCGTGCTCCTGATCCCTACTTGCAACATCTGGACACGTAACGATCTTTTCGCGCGGTTGTAACATTTTCTTCGCGCTGTCTTCGCCCTTGCTGTGCTGCAGCTAGTGGAGCCTGAAATGGTGGAGTTTATGCAGAAGCTCCGCAAGGTAACATATTCTCCCAGATTCTCCACGCCTTCTGGCCTCTCGACCCAGTAGACTTGTTTGGCAGTTTCCCAATTTTTCTTGAGCGAAGGACTGAGTGCGTTTGTTTTACTCCTGCGGTTGATGTTATCAGACAGTGACCGTTGGAATTGTTGGAGGATCGGACCTGTCAAAAATCACCGAGCAACTGGGGCCTGACAGTAAGTGATGTCAGCTTTAGACTTATCCTTGATCCACATCACCACTCGAATTCGTGAAGACTGTCAAAGAAATGTGGAAGAATCCCTCTAACGCAACAATGACCTTTGCAGCCTTGACGGCATACGACTACGTGTTTTCTGAGAATGGCCTCGTGGCACACAAAGGAGGAGAGCAGATCGGTAGCCAGGTAGGCGATTTTGAACCACATCGGCCGGTAGTCGTGGCACAAGCACTTTTTCTCAGATACTTCTCCTGACCTGTTTTGACCAAATCAGTCTATCTGTGTGAATTTCAGAGCCTGAAAACCTATCTGGGCGATGATAAGCTCAAGGTAATGGGGGTCTCGAGTTCTTTTGCACAGTACCGAACTCTAGGCTCGCATCGCTTGAACGAAGCGCGTGGTTGTGATGCAGGAATTCATCAATTTCACTCTCCACTACATCGCCGACCTTGACATTCCTATCAAGAGGTGAGAAAAGGCCGCTGTATTGTTAGCAAATACAGCTCCTTCTTTACATTTCCAAGTTTGGAGGCTCTTGTTGTGCATTAAATCCCTCGATTCTCTCCCATTGGCAGAGGAACATTCATAGAGTTCAGAATGGGCATGCTCAACGTGTCTCCTATTGGACGAAATTGTAGCCAAGAAGAAAGGGATGAGTTTGAGCGATATGACAAGGTACAGTCGA